GGGGACAGAAGTGGCAGGACAGTCACCTACCGCCTGCCCACTGCCACGGGAGCAGAGATAAAGGCTCCATGGTGCAGCTAACAGCGCAGGCAGCCTTTGACTGAAGGGATCAGATGAAAGCTAAGCTCAGCAAACAGGTGTACTTGAAGACAGACACATCAAAACATCCTCTCCCCTCCCCTGTCACTGCCTGTGGGGTCAGTAATGCAGCAGTTCAATGCCAAGGGCAGCTACAAAGGGCTCCCTGTTAAAGGGGGGGGGGGGGGTAGTGAGGGTGGAGGAGATGGTGCCATCTTTGGCCTTTTTCAGAAGTACCTGGGGACATACCAGGCCTGCTGATTTATGCTCAGGGCTAGGCTGGTGGGCACTGAAGCTGCTGTTGGAAATAGGACTTTTGAGAACTTTACCCATGACCCCTTTCATTTCTAGGTCACAAATTCGAATCCTGCCTATGCTCCTCGAGCAGAGGGGCTCGTCTGACCCCCCCGTAACCACAGGATCGGAATGCCTTTGATGTACCGAGCCTCACGTCGAGACAAGGCAGGGCAGGTGTTTCCATGTGACCGAAGGGGAACTGAGGCACAGAAAGACCAAAGGGAGCAGCCGAGTCGGGAATGGCACTTGGACATCCCACAGTCAAAGGTGGACTCTGCTCTAAGCCACGGGTGGGCAACCCACGCCCTGAATGTGGCCCATCGGGGTTCTACGTGCAGCCCTCGAGACATCACCTGCAGGGTTGCCAGATTCCGCTGGTTTCCCTCCACAAAGTCTCCCCTCCACCCCGTTATTACTAACCCCTGGGACGTCGTCCTTTCAGTCTGTGGCTATTGGGACTCTTAGTGATCTCCGCTTATATGGATGACCAATCTCAATCCTGTCCCTTCAACTGACCTCATAGAAACCTCCATCACAGTCCATGCCAATTAGCCACCTTGCTGGCAGCCCGAGCAACACAGCTGACCAGGGAACACGAGTCTGAGTTCTCTCACCAATTCAGGTGGTGCCTGCTAATCGGAATGAGGCTCATTCGTGGGCGGCAGGGGAAGTCTGCCTTAACGGTACCTGTTTTGAAGCTGATGAACTTCTAGGCCTGATTCTCAGAAGCCCTGAGCACCGAGAGACCTGTGTGAAGCTAGTGGGAGCTGTTGCTATTAGCCCCTCTGAAATAAAAAAAACCAGGCCCATTTTGTCTGGTTCTTATGCTCCCCTATCTATTGTGTGTCTGTCTCCACTTGTCATCTCATCTCTGTGAGCACCTCGGAGCAGAAACTGGCTTTTCATTCTGTGTTTATCCAGTGCCTAGCACAATGGGCCACGACGGGGGTTTCTAGGTGCTACTGCGATACAAATCATAAAGAAAGAGAATCATTTCCAGAGCTGTCAATCCTCCATCCTTCATGGGTGACAAGGACCCTTAAACTAAACTGCACAAAAAATTCTCTCCTGTCCTTGGACCTTTTACTGTGAATGCTCATCTTAAGGTGTCCCCAGGTTAACTGCATCAGGCTAACACTGCAGTTTCTCTTGCGAGAAAGGGGCACTTTGGTCTGTCACTTGCAATAGATCTGCTGTTTTATTTCTGTATCTCTCTAAACAGAACAATCTACCTGGGACAAACAGAGGTGTTCCCCCTTTTCATTTGTTCCCTTGCCTCTTACAAGAAGTCAAATGGTCTCTAACTTCCCAGAAACTGTCCGTTTCCTTCAACAAAACAAAGCAACAACAACAAAACAAATAACCCAAAAGGATGCTGCATTTGCTCAAGTGGTTATGTTCCCTTCAAATAGAAGGCACATTTATTACTAAATGAATAAAAGCCTTAAAACACAGAGTAATTAGGATGGCTCCTTCCTATACAGGAACATTCTAAAATTAAATGAAATGATCTTATCTTTCTCCGGGTGTTTGGCGTTCTTGGGAAAACATAAGAAACACACAGAAGATCATTTTTCACTCAGACAGACACACACAAAGAATCTCTATATTTGGAGAAATGTGTTGAGCTGACCATCCCTGCAAAAGGAATTCTTCTTCTAGCTACTTTAAATCTTTGAGGTGTAAGAGCTAAGAGGTAATGCCAATAAGGAAGAAATTGGAGCATGAAATCTTCGCCTCATTGAAATCAATGGGGGCTTTGCCACAGACACTAACGGCGCCTGGATTTCACACGAGTTTAGATTTAGAACCAATTTGATTCACAGTGGCATGTTCCAACAGCAATGTCATGATCTTGGGGCAAGTCACTCGATTGTGACAAACCAGGGCACCCCAGGACTAAGCCAGGACCAAGAGTCTTCCTCCAGCTCATTTTAGCCTGAAAAAAAAATTCCCATTTTTGCTCCCACCAATTCACACCCACCAGCAGTAGCAGCATAGAGAACTCTAGCACAGGTGTGCCACCTGCTACTACCAAATGTTTTACATTCCATTTTGACTAGCCCTATTTTGAACAGGTTTAGGTGACATGGTGTTTAAAGTGCTGCTGGGAGCCTGGGCTATCGATGTGCCCACTGTTGCCACAGAAGTGTTGTTAGCAGCAGCCATGTAGACAAAACTTGTGTGATCTTGAGCAGAGTGGCTTCCCTGCTCCGTGCCTCAGTTTCCCCACCTGTCAAATGGTGTGAAAACCATTTCACTGCCTGCAAAAGCCCTAGTGATCAGTGTCTAACTCCTTGAAAGCTGGGGATCTTTTTACTGCCAGAGCACAAAGCAGGATCGTATTCTATTTGACGGAGATGCTGCTTAATTTGGCCATTTAAAATCTGCCTTTGGAATCATAGAGCTGGAAGAGACCTCAGGAGGTCATCAAGTCCAGCCCCCTGCTCAAGGCAGGACCAATCCCAACTAAGTCAACCCAGCCAGGGCTTTGTCAAGCCGAGACTTAAACACCTCTAGGGATGGAGATTTTACCACCTCCCTAGGGAACCCATCCCAGTGCTTCACCACCCTCTTAGTTAAATAGTTTTTCCTAATATCCAGCCTACACCTCCCCCGCTGCAACTTGAGGCCATTGCTCCTTGTTCTGCCATCCATCACTACTGAGAACAGTCTCTCTCCATTCTCTCTGGAACCTCCCTTCAGGAAGTTGAAGGCTGCTATCAAATCCCCCCTCACTCTTATCTTCTGCAGATTAAATAAACCCAAATCCCTCAGTCTCTTCAAAATCAAACATACATCTCTCTGCAAAACAGGACATTTAAGTTTCCACTAAAACAGTTTCTATGAAAACCCAAGTTTTCAATAGGGGAGAAATTAAAAATGAACCACACTTTGTCCTCAAGTGATCTTGTCCTCCACTTACCTTTGCTCCTCTTGGACGTCTGTGTGCAAGGAGAGTGTGGCAGCAAATCAAACCCTTCTCCCCACTCTGGTCCCTTACAAAGAGGTAAGCAGCTAGCTGGCTCTCTCTTTCTCTCTCACCTTCAGTATACATCTCTGTCCATTATTATAGGAGCTGGTGGTGATGTCAGCAAAACTTGGACCCACCTCCACCTTCACCCCACTCCTCCTCTGGCCATTTCACTTAGAAAATTGCCACTTATCTTTTTCTTTTGATTGCTTGCTGCTGTGACGTGCAAGTTTACAATATGCCACTTTAAACAAGAGAACACAGCTTACCCCCACACTACTCTGGTCAGGATCTTCAGCTCGTAGAAATTAACTCAACTCTATTGACTTCAGTAAGGCTCCTCTAATTTATATGAGCTGGGTACAGGCTGAACTTCTCTAGTCTAGCTCACTCTGGTCTGGCATGATTTTAATTAGCCAGATGGCCACTGATCATGGGTGTGGCCAAGTTCCCCACGTCCCATAAAGTTTGTTTACAGCCACCAGTCCTGGCTCTCAGTGTTCTGTGCTGTTCTTTAGCTCTGATTTACCCCTCAATGTCTTCTCAGAGCCCAGGAAGCAGTGGAAGTGTTGGTCATGCTGCTAGACAATATTGATCTCCTGTGGTTTGGCAAATTCTCAGGTCCCGAGGGTGCTGGATTAGAGAGGTTCAACCTGTATCTGGCTCTTGACCCTCCTGCCCTCTTAACTTTTTCACTCAGGGCACGTCTATATTAGGGAGCCAATACCAACTAGCAATGCTGATGTAACTTTCTGGTTTGCAAAAATGTGGCAATGGGATTTTCCAGCAATTTCAAAACCGTCTTCCCACGTGTGTGGCATTGGCAGACGCTCCGGCGCTCACCCTCACTGTTTTGCAAAGCTTTGGTCTCTGCATTCTGCAGCGAAACAATGGCTGGGTGGAAAATGCCCAAACAGCTTCCCTACCCACATTGTTCTCAGATCCGGACGGCTCTGGAAGCTAGAGAGACCTGCCCCTTCAGTGGATTGGGGGTGGCTTGTGGGGGTGAGAGGAGGAGTTGGAGACCTGCGCCTGTGGTGGATGCATGGCTCCCGTAGTGGGCGGAGCCTCAGGTGGAAGAGGCGGGGCTGGGGAATTGCCTTTCCCAGTCCTAGGTTCACCCACCGTCCATGGCTTTGTTGCAGAATAGCCATCAGGCAGCCATGTTATTATTTAGGAGAGACAGGCGGAGTCTACAGCCAGCGGCAGTCAGAACATTCAGCCACGGAAGTGCTCGCATGACCACAGGCCAAATTCGCAGCTGTGGCATGCCTGCCTCCCTCCCTTGACTCCCAATGGATCAGTGCAGAGTGACGCCCACGGCAGATCTGGCCTTGTTCCTTTAGCAGCTCTGTGCTCTGCCTGTCCTCCGCCCGACACTACTGCCTGCAGGACTTGCCTCATATTGGACAGGACGGGCGCACCCTCTGAGTGTCCTCAGCCAGATTCGCGGCTTCCTGCTTGGGTGCGGGTTCAGGAGAGGCCTCATTGTGTCTGATGACCTGAAGCGCTTCATCACAGCAAAGGCAGCTCATGTGCCTGCCGCCAGCGTCACACTGAAAAGAACCGTCCCTGCTTCTTAATAGACTCGCCACGAGCTATGCGCTCGGCATCTGGGCTTCCCAGCCTGTGCAGCCGCACTCGGTTTTCTCCGGTTTGACGGCAGAATGGTCTTTAAAAAACGAGAGATAATTATCGGAAGTAATTACCAGGCTATGGCTGTGCACTCCACCCCCGCAACCACCTGCTTGCCCCTCAGTGCAGCTTTAGTAAGTAATGTCCCCAAACAGCATTTGGTTTCTCATGGTCAGTGCACATGAAAAGGGTGATTTACTCTCCCAGGATCAGGTCATGAAATGTTAATGGAGCTTCATAGGAGATTTCATAACCACCCATCTTGCAGGATGGATGTACTGTCAGGGGCTGATTCGGTGTTGTGCCTCTTGGGAAAAGCAGTCCAGGCAGGGGGAGCTTCGTACGTGCCAATCCTGCACCAGAGAAAGGTGCGGCCTTTGCAGTAACTCAGAGCAGCACCAGGGCCGTATGCTCTCCTTGCCTGGCTGGCTGTTGGCAATTCTGCAGCTCAGAAGAGGTGGCTCTCGGAGCACTCTGGCCCTCCTTCCAACACCAGCGCTCTGGTTCTCACAGTGGGAGACTTCCCCAGTATGTTGTGAGGTGCAGCCTCTGGGCTTTAGGGACTGGAGCCAGCAGTGGCTTGGCCCTGGGAATGGGACATCACCTTATTTTGTACTGAACGCTGCAATGCCTTTCGAAGGCATGAGCCCACACAATTTAACTGGATCAGGGATTTTTGGCACTGACTTCAATGGGAGCAAACGCCAGGTCAGAAAAGCTCATCGAGCTTGTATGGAAGACACAATGCAAGCAATGGGACTGCTGGACCAGAGAACACAGCTTGCTTTTCACAGTAAAGACTCAGTGGACCGGAGAGGAAAATTAATGCAGGCCCTGTGGTTCTAGCACCTCTTGCTTAGTGATTTTTAAACTATTGCAAAAGCAGGATTTAAAAAATGTTCATCGGAACATTTATGTGGTGCAAGATCTTTCCCATTTATAGGAAATCAGATGAGGTCTGAGATGCCTGTTAACCTTGCAAAATGCCATGCTCTCTAGACCCGTGGTGTCCAACCAGTTCTGAGGCAGGAGTAGCCACACTAGTGGCTACTGATAGAGGTTACGTCTAGGCTGCAGGCTTCTTTCGGATGAAGTTTTTTTTGGAAGAGACCTTCTGAAAAAACTTTTTCTGAAAGAGAGTGTTCACACTGCAAATGTGCATCGAAAAAGCAAACTGCTTTTTTGAAAGAGAGCGTCCACACTGAATGGATGCTCTCTCACATGTAAACTGTGATTGCTATGGACGGAATGGCCACCAGGGCACCTGTGCTTTTTCCTCTTTCCTCATCTTCCGAAAGAACTCCCTCTTCCCCATCCACACACGCCTTTTTCCGAAAGAGCTCTTTTGCAAAAAGGCTTCTTCCTCATAGAATGAGGATTGTCAATGCCAGAAAAACCCTTCTGTTCTTTCGATTTTCTTGCGAAAGAATGCAATTGCAGTGTAGACGTTTCTCAAGTTTTGTTGGGAAAATGGCCGTTTTTTCTGACAAAACTCTATAGTGTAGACATACCCAGAGTGAGCTAACCACATTATTCTGAAAATGTAAATAATTTTGTGAGCTAACTAGCCACTCTCAAGCAACCAAATGGCCACACATGGCTAGTGGCTAGTGTGTTGGACACCGCGGCTCTAGACATTCTGCGTCACTTCCCATCACACCCAAGTGGCATCAGACACAACTTTGTTTTTAGCTTCGTGCTTAGACACCCATGGAAATCTAGCACCTCCTTTCTAAGTTCCCTTATTCAGTTCCCCGATTTATTCACCAGAGCCCCTCCAGGACTCTTCCTGACACTCTCCAGGAAAAAAAAAGAAAAAACAAACCCTCCACTGAAAAGAATAACAAGAACTTGTAATAAGGCATTTTGTCAGGAATTCTTCCTGAGCACTAAACATCGGGAGTATGTCTACACTGTGATCAGGAGCTGTGACAGCAGCGTGTGTCCTGTAGACCTACCTGAACTAGCTTTGATCCAGCTAGCCTCTTTCACCGGAGCTAAAGGAGTAACTCCTCTCCCTCCCAGCTGTAATAGGCTCTTATTCTCTATGGAGCAGCCATCAGAAATGGGACGTATTACACACTGCAAGCACAGTGTTAATAGCAGCATGTCCCTTTGACGGGGCTGCAATGCAATATTATCTCAGATGGGCTTTTGAATCCACTTTCACATGACAAAAGAATCAATCAAAAACATGCACAACCATCTAGTTTGGGAGACTCCTTCATTCCAGCGTAGCTCATGAGAGGGTGGGAATACCCGTTATGTCTATTTGATTGGGAGCAATTGGATAGCAACGCTTTCTGGGTTAATCAGTAGCAGGATCTCTTAGCTCCAAGCTGTGTCTGTCACATAACAATGAGCGTGTCCAGTCCAGTGGTTCTTGGCTTGGAGTGATGGCAAGTTACTGTCTGTGCAATAAGAGCCAGCTGGCCAGCAATCCAGGGGCTTACAGCAGGTGACTATCTCCACGTCCTGTCGGCAACTCTTCCAGGTCACACCAGGGAGCTGGTGTCTCCTAGTTTCTGGAATAGCTGCAACAATGACAATGCATTAGCAGCAGCAGCGAATTCCAGAGGGCCCTAAAATGGGCTGAAAATAATGGCGACTCTTGCAGTACGGCACAACTGCACCTTCATTTCCCCCAGCAGTTCAGCAAGGGCACCCAGGAGCGGGCTCCCCAGCCTGCGCCTTTCCTGGGGGAAGCCTGGTGTCCCTCCTCTTTCTGAACAGTTCCCTGCCTTCACTGTGCTATTCCCAGAAAAAGACAGGCTGCTTCAGCAGACCTGCTGTCTTCTCAGACTCAGAGTACGGGGTAACATATGAGCTACCATGCAGCTCTTGTGCTACACTTTATCCTTAAGGTGAAAAATCTTATAGAGAAAATGTATTAAACGCAATAAAAGAACCTAGATACACGCTAATGACATTCCCAGTAATCACCCCAACTAGTTTGTCCTTCAAAACCCCATAAAGGGTGGGTCCTCTATGGTCACAAGTTCATAACACCCTCAGCTCAGAACTAGCACATTCAGGTAAAGTTTAGTCCATCTGTTATACAGTTCAAGGGTCTCTGAGTTTCTACAGGGTGAACCTCTCCAAGCTGGGATTCTCTGGTCTGGCAACATCTGTGGTCTGGCAGGATCCCGGATGTACCTGGACCAGGGAGTCCGGCAGCAGGAGCCCTGCCGAGGACTGGGAGGCCTGCAGGGGTAGTGGTGGCAGGGAGCTGGCATTGACTTCCCCAGGTCTGGCAAACTCCCTCATTCGGGACTGGGCAAGTCTTCAGGGTGGTCTAACCTGTGGGAGCAGACAATGGGTCTGTGTCCCTAGGGCGTAGCTCCAAAAGGCTGGTTTCAGAGGGGAGAATTTGCATTTCTCGCCTTCCGAGTACTTTCCAGGAAAAACACAGCATAGGCATTGCACCCCCCAAAAAACCCTTTGACGTTATGGATACTTTCAGAGATTTAATTGGCAAAGCATCTAGAGAAGTCACACACAGCTTCCCAATAACTCCTATGCAACTGCATTTTGAATACAATGGACCACAAAGGGATTGAATTTAATTGAATAATGTTTATCTTAATTCCATAGGGGTTGTCCAGGACAGTGTCAGTTTTAGGGATGTAATAGTGTAGTCGATTCACCAATTAACCGAAAAGCAAAAGCGTATAGATTAATGCTGTAGGCGACACGTATTTCCCCCACTTTCCCCTACCAGTAAATTTTTTAGCAGTCTGGCCAGCAGCCCAGCTCAGTCCCAGCTCACACCAGGTCTGGGAGCTCAGATCTCTCCTGGACAGGGCTGCTGCCACCCCACCTTGCTGCCTCTGTATTAGAGGCAGCAGTGCAGGGCAAAAAGCAGCTGGTCTGCAAGGAGAGCTGTTTTTTAAACTGACTCCCCTCGTGGACCAGCTCCCACTGGCACCCCAGGCTGTGGCCTCTGATACAGAGGTATCAGCACTGAGTGGCAGGGGGCATTTCGGGGGTGGGGCTGGAGCGCACTGGCTGCTGGCCCCATTGTCAGGTACTATAGAATAGTTGAGTAACCGATAAGAATTCATGAGGTTAATCGAATATTCAATTAACCGATATTTAACATCCCTCGTCACTTTCTCCCAGTTAGTCAGTTGGCGTAACATTGCACTGTAATTAGTTGAAGTCCTAATGCTATTTGCTACTGAGGACAACCCATTTCCTCAGCAATTCTGTATCCTCTGCTTAAGAATTTTTTGTTTTCAGAAGATGCATTTCAGATCCACTGCGAACATTGCTGCACATGAATTGACGCAGGTCAAAAATGTTCACAGCGGTGAAATTGCAACAAAAGTGCAGCTATTTTTCACAATCATTTGACCAATTCTAATATCAATTAGAGGCTAGAGCTGAATGTGGACAAGAGGAAAACTAGAGTGGTACGCAGAGATCCAGGGAAAACACGCAAAATTTCAGTGAGCAACACAGCCATACAGAATGCAAGAAATTACTGCTGCTTAGGCAGCTTTGTTACAGAAGATCAGATAAGTGCAGTTAGCAGCTGAATAGAACAAAAGAAATGTTCTGGAAGAACAGGCATCTAATGAGATGGGACATGAAATGGGAAGACATCTTTACATCCCAACTCTTAACATCGTACATTTGGTTTTCATTAAATGATGGCTGTGAAACACGGACATTCCAACAACTCAAGTGAACGTAGGAGCAGAAATTTAATTTCCTCTTTTGACTGGCTTCCTCTCTTTCTTTTGCCTGACTTATTTGAAATCAATTAAGTTACAAGAGATGCGAAAGCCAGTGGGAGAGGAGAATGGGCCAAATTTTCAGCGGGTGTAAATCTGTGATGCTTCGGAGATGTCAAAGGAGATCTGTCCACTTACACCCATTCAAAATGTGGTCCAGTGTCCTTAGTGGTATTTTGCAAAACCAAAGCTTCTGACTCTGTGAAAGCCAATCCCAAAGCCCTGCTTACCTTGCTCAGTAGTGGAATATTTCCCACCGTTCCTAGAAATCCAAAGACGACTGGGAAAAAATTCCTGGAGCAAAGCAAAGATCCTTGTTAGTCACTGAATGGAGCCTAGGGAAGGGAATGAGCTGATTTAGGGTCAAGGAAGGAATTTCCCCATGATCGATAACTGGGTAAAACAAAGCCCAGGTCTAAAAAGCTCCTAAAAGCTTTTACTCACTGGGAAGTATTGTCCACCCAGCTGCATGCCAGTTTTACCCTCTTGTTGCCAGCACACAGGCATACACGAAATCGAGCCAAGGGGCCACGTGGGTTTGGTACAGATGTGGGGCTTGGCAGATTCTCTTTTGGTGCCCAGTGTTTGACATCAGTGCGTTGCAAAGAACAGGCGCACTGACCCCATGACACCTGTATGATGTTGTGCAGAGCTGTAGATGCTGGCTCAGGGATTCCTAGGGAGAATGGAGTTTCCTCCCCCATGCTCCATGTCTCTGGAGTTCTGCTGGCTACTCTAGCAGGGCTACTAGCCAAGGCCAAAACTCAATGCACATGGAGAACAAGTCACCTGAAAAGAGCGATGAAGCCGTAGGTCTCCAGCAACATGCCCAGAAGAGGCCATCTCAGGAGCACAATGAGAATGCCTCCCAGGAAGAAGCTGGTGCCCTTTAGCTTCTCCTTCTGGAAGAAGAAGCGGAAAGTCCTTTGCAGGCCAATGATAATGGCCAGGCCAGAAAGGAACAGGATCTAAGTGGAGGAAATGGAGCCATGACAGGATTTGTTAGAGCAGACGTAAATGTTCCCTTCCTTCATTCCTGGTTGGGATGAAAAATGTGAGTGCCAACTCCAACTCCTCTTTCCTGTGTGCATCTGCTGACACGGGCATCCCCTCCTGACCCCTGGCACCATCCATCTCTCTAAGACAGCACCAAACTTGCCTGCTGTTGCGGTCCGTATAACTGCAATATAGGACCATTCATATCAGCCACGTAAAGCTGAGGTCTGCTGTAAAGGTCTGCAGAAGAGAAGCGTGAGGGGGGATTTGATAGCAGCCCTGAAGGAGGGTGCCAAAGAGGATGGAGAGAGGCTGTTCTCAGTGGTGGCAGGTGGCAGAACAAGGAGCAATGGTCTCAAATGGCAGTGGGGAAGGTCTAGGTTGGATATTAGGAAAACCTATTTCCCTAGGAGGGTGGGGAAGCACTGGGATGGGTTCCCTAGGCAGGTGGTGGAATCTCCATCCCTAGAGGTTTTTAAGTCCCGGCTTGACAAAGCCCCGGCTGGGATGATTGAGTTGGGGTTTGTCCTGCTTTTAGCAGGGGGTTGCTCTCCTGAGGTCTCTAGGATGCTATGATTCATAGCATTCCCAACAGAATGCCATGGTAATAAAGCAGTAAGGAGACAGGCTTGCCTGAGTCCCAGGCAACTGCAATTCAGTAGGTAGAGAATGAACAGACCCATCAATGGGAGGGAAGGGAGCAAAGGGGACAGCTGCCCCAGGACCCGGCACTTCAAAGAGTCCTGTGGCTCACCGCTGCTGCTAATATGGCAGTGCCCGACGCCCCAGGTCCTTTAAATTGCTGCCGGAGCATCCCGTAGCTATGAGGGGTGAGGGGTGGGCAGCACCATGGTTTAGGCCGACTTCCCTGGCCCCGCCTCTTCTGCCTGAGGCTCCGCCCCTTCAGGAGGCCCAGGGCCCCATGGAAGCTGTCAGCTCCCCGGAGAACGAAAGACTAAATTCTGCTCGATTCTAAGACGTAATCACACCACCTAGTCTTTTTACAGCACTTCTCATTAGCAGATGTCAAAGCACTTTACAGAGGACGTCAGTCTCGTTATCCCCAGCGAGTTTATTTCCCACAAACCCAAGCAGGATGTGGACAGCCAGACTAGCTCGGTTTCTTTTCATAATAGGAAACTGTACAGGCCCACAGGAGCCGTGACTCTTTTGCAGGGGGGTCTGGGCACCTGTCCTCGTGCTAGATTTCCCCCTCAGGAGTGGTAAGGAAGCCGGGCAAGGCATCGAGGTACTCACGTTTCCAAAGGCCAGCAGCACCGAGTCGAAGTACAAGAGCACCCCAAAAAGGATGAAAAATAGGCCAAAGCCCACAAGACCCACGCCGATCTCTGCAACAGATGGAGGGCCAGCGATTAGGAGCACAGTGGCGATGGACAGTGTAGTCACGACAAAGGACGCCTTGGATGGTGCCAGCTTAGGCTGTCAAATCGACCCTGGGGTTCCTCTCTGCATCACCACCTCAGCGAAGAAGGTTAACTTGGGGGTCGTAGCCAACATTCAGAAACATGTCAAGGAAATTTCTAGCACAGGTAGGTTTTTGAGAGCTTGCTGCTCCCCCTGGCCTCAGAGCCCCACTCTCCCTTTGTGTGTCTGAGGGGGAGAAGGAGACAGCCTGAGGTGAAACGGGCTGGAAAACGGAAAAATGGTTTCCGGAAAAATGGAAGTGGTTTCCACTAGGGATGTGAATGGTGCACCAGTCTCACCATTACCGGGTGAGACTTACTGGTTCTGGTTAACTGATGGGGACTGGAGCAGCTCCTCTTCCGCTGTGGGCAGGGGGCTCCTTCAGCCCCTTGGGGCCTGCCGTAGGCAGGGGGTGCTCCAGCCAGGCCAGGGCAGCCCCTGTCAGTGGTGGACCTGGCCCGGGCGTGCCACAGGCAGGGGTATTCCAACCCAGTCAGAGCAGCCCCTCTCGGGGAGGGAAGGGGGGTGGAGAGGAATTCAGCTCAGTTGGATTGGAACAGCCCTCCCCACCTGCCTCCCCTTTCGTCGGTTAACTGTTTAAACATTACATTTAACCGGTTAACCAGTTAAACGGGATTTGACATCCCTAGTTTCCACAAGGAAGGTGTCGCTTCCTGCTCTCCTCCCTCCCCAAAATGGAGCTGATCCCAAGCCCTGGACTCACTCGGAGTCTTCCCATTGCCTGGAATGCGCTTTGGGTCAGGCCTAGGGTTCTCTAACTTATTGGTCAGCCAGTCCGCAGTCAAATATGGGAGGTTGTAGGGGTCCAGAGGAGTGAGACAATGGGCTGAAAAACCCAGGAGGCACCGGGGAACCTTGAGTGTGTCCGGGCTTGAGGGAGTCACCCCCTTCTCTTTTGGGATATGTCTGGTATCCCGAAATAGCTGTTCCGCATCTCTTGAGCACGTCCATTATTTTGAAATGTAACGGGCTCACTATTCTGACATCCCTGTAAACCTCGTTCCACGAGGAGTAAGGGACGTGTCGGAAAAGAACGGTTACTTACCTCGTAACTGTGATTCTTTCAGATGTGTTGCTGATGTTATTTCAAAATAAGTGCGGTGTAGACAGCACCAAATTTCTAAATAAGCTACTTCGAAATAACATCGAAATCAGATAGGCAATTTGTGTAGCTCAACTTGCGTATCTTATTTCGACCTACGGTGCAGTTGAAATAACACTGACAGTGCTGGGAAAAGGGCAGGCCACCCACACCCTCAGCTCTGCCAATGGCCCCCACTCAGAGCCCCCCTCTGATATTGCAGTCCTGAGCCCCCCACCTTCCAGCTGTGCCAATGAAATAACATCGAAATCAGATAGGCAATTTGTGTAGCTCAACTTGCGTATCTTATTTCGACCTACGGTGCAGTTGAAATAACACTGACAGTGCTGGGAAAAGGGCAGGCCACCCACACCCTCAGCTCTGCCAATGGCCCCCACTCAGAGCCCCCCTCTGATATTGCAGTCCTGAGCCCCCCACCTTCCAGCTGTGCCAATGGCCCTCACTCTTTACCCACAACCCCCCTCGGCTATTCCAGTCCTCAGCACTCCCTCCCCCCCGCCAGCTGTACCAATGCCCCTCAATCCTGACCCACAACCACCCTTGCTTTTTCTGCCCTGGACTCCTCCCTACCTAAACACGCAGCTGTACCAATGCCCCTCAATCCTGATCCACAACCACCCTTGCTTTTTCTGGCCTGGACTCCTCCCTACCTAAACACGCAGCTGTACCAATGCCCCTCAATCCTGATCCACAACCACCCTTGCTTTTTCTGGCCTGGACTCCCCCTTAGCTACACACCCAGCTGTACCAATGCTTCATCAGTTCTGACCCACAGCTGACTCTCCTTCTGCTATTTCACGTCCCCCCCAATCCTCCCCCAGCTGTGCCAGAGGCCTGCATCCTGCACCACAGCCCCCCTTCCATCTTCTGCTATTCCTGGCCTGAGCTCCCCACCCCCAGCCATGCCAGCGTCCGGCATCCTAAACATTCCACTCCTCAGTGGGATGGTGTTTCTGTGGGGCTGACCACCCACCCACCGGGGTTTACATGGACAGTACCAGGCTGGGGGCCTTCAGGCCAGGACGGTCATTCACTCTGCCTCTGACACTCCCTAATCAGCTGGGGCTGGCTGACAGAGCAACCCCCCCCGCTCCAGCCTGCCCTCCGAGCCTGGATCTCACAGCATCGCCCTGTAGCCTGAGCCAGGCTGTCCCCCGGGGTTCACTGTCCCGTCACTGACAACCAACCGCCCCGAGGCTGCGTCCCTTACTCACTCTGGAAGTCTGTGATTGACACCATCTTCCCTGGCAAGTGCCTGGAGACGGGAAATCTGGTGTGTGCAGGGAGGGGTGTGGCGGGCGGGGGCGGACTCACAGCTTCCACATACTCCCAACCAGTGACCCTTGGAAAGGTCTTTAATCCCCACCTCCGTTAGCCTGCAAATCATTAACTCCCTAGCAGCGGCAATAACCTTCAAAAGGCCCAGCTCGGATGAGCACCACATTAACAGCTCACACCCCAGTTTAAAACCACCGCAGACCGGTAGTCACTTACCTGGAGCATCTCCTACATAAAGTACCACGACGGCTGGCACTAGCTATCCTGGATGGCCCCGCTCAGTTGTTCCTACTGCCCAGAGATCTCTGTGAACTGCTCTAAGAAAGGGTCTGATTCTGAGCTGACCTACACCACTGCAAAGGAGGAAGAGAATAGGCCAGGCCGGCGTCAACCGCGGGCGGGGGTGTTATTAGTGCCTGTTGTTATTAGTGCATGGAGTTAGACCTACCGTGCTAGGCGCTGTACAGACAGAACAAAAAGAAAGTGCCTGCCCCAGAGAGCTAACACTTCCCTGGTCCGCCCTTGCTCAAGGAAAGTGTGCAGCATGTTCTGATGTACTCATCCCATGTGGTCTTTGTTTCTGAATAGTTGTGGGTCCGTGAACATTTAGAAATAGTGTCCAATGGGCCATTTCAGGGACCATGCTTGTGCACCTGAGAAATATTGAGTTTTGCTGCCTCTAATTCTTCCCCTCCACTGGGCGGCTAATTTCCCTTCCGAAGTCCTTTGCCTAGCCCTGAAGCAGCTACTTATAGAGCCAAGAAGCAGCAATGCCTACCTCATGCATCCTGCTGGGTTAACTCGACTCCAAGACTCAGCCGTGGCAGGAGTCTCTTTTCTACTGCCCAGCCTTGCTCCAGAACAAGCCCATTCCACCTGCAACCCATCTCCTCTATCTGAATGGCAAGAGGAGAATCTGTATTATGCAGGGCTACAAGCACAATCTGTTGCACCTGTCTGATACAGGAAGCGTGCTCCTACGCACAGTCCACCTGATTCACCGGCCGCAGGTACTGGCTCCTTGGCTGCAGTCATCACATGCCAGAGGGATAGTTTGTGAGAAATTAATTCTCCACCAGCAATTGGTCTCTTCTGTCCGCGAAACATTTCCCAACCTCCTTGCAAATGCTCAGAGACATTTGCTATTCACAGGTGTCCCTCCATAGGCCTGTTTCTGCCCTTTGAACTCACCCCGCGCAGTCCCCTACCACTCCACTGCTTTCTGAGGTTGGATCGCATCCCACTGAGGGTGAATTTACTCCCCCCTGAGACTGTAGTTAGCGCTGACCCTACACTGAATCCCTGTTCAGCCAAGTCTCCTGCTTGGATTTCCCTCTTTGGAAATAGTGCTGGGGCCATGAGACATGTGGAATTTGCTCTGGAGTTTCCACAGAAGATGGCAGAAGTTTGGCCTCTCCTCCCACAGTTCCCTAGGGTGGCCATCTGGATTGCCACAGGGAAATGGCCCAGAATGCATTGCTCCTGAGCCATGTACACGGAACTGTGGAGTAGCTATGCCACGTGGCTGGTTAAAAACAGCGTGCTAGTCTTTAATTACATGATCACCTACTGTTTGTTTCCTTGGGGAACCTCTGTGGAGTCTTTGGTGAATTTATCTGCCAAACTCTATCTCTGTTGAGCAAATCTGAACAAAGATTTTTCAGAGGCTCATAATGAGGCCAAATTTGGGTGAATTTTCACAGAGATGGAAAAGGTACATCACCCCTCACGCTGGCCACCCGAACCCCAAATTTCAAGTCCTTTATTCAAAGTGTGGTGGTGCTAGAGCTATTCAATGAAAACAGGTACTTTTTTTTTTTAACTTGGGCAAAGCCTTGTATTCCCTGCTAGCCTTGTTCTTTTAAATGGCCAAAATATTTAAGCCAAAACTTTTTTTTTAAATGGGAAGAAGGTCAGCTTTGGGTAAACAGTGGTCATGAAAAATTGTATATCTTTGAATGGTTAGTTTGGCAAAGCTATAACCAACTCCAACAAAGTCTTACAACATAAATTATTATTACCCCTTCCAGCTATAGTACAGGACCTACAGCTCAAGTTTAATACCAACGGAAGTTGCAGCTGCTCAGAACCTCTGAAAATTGGTCCCCTACCTATGTCCAAGCCTGTCCATCGCCTAGCTATAGTTGCAAGAAGGACAATCTCAACAAATCATCTATGTACAAACTATCCATTTTTATTTAATGCAAACTTGCAAGGTACAAATGCATTGTGTTTCCTTTTGTGAGATTGGATCTTTTAGTAGCTACATCTAAACCAAATGCTGTTGGGAAAATTACAAAGCAAACTACCATTTACTTAATCACTGGGAAGAGTCAAACCCCTTTGGATTGATGGTGAAGAATTCAAGATGCTGAAATGCTACAACCATGGTCTCTTCGATCTAATGTTATAATAGTTGTCATCTAAGGTCACTTTTACACAGAAAGAAAGACACCAACATGACATGGTTTCTTAGATAGTTTTATTTGTCTAACACTAGCAAAAATCCATTTTTGCCACCCCTCCTTCCCCCAAAAATAATGTGCATAAATAGATCTTTTTCTGATGCAAACAGTTTTTTCTTACAAGAGTTGCTGGTATATGAAGGTGTTATGAAAAATAACCAAAATAAAATTAAAAATTAAAATAAAAAAATTACAGTTCCACAATACTGCAATATTGTGACCCTCAGCCACGCCGCTGAGAGCTCACAGCTTGTAACTTTGGAAACTTCTTAAGGTGACAGTAGCAGGGATTGGTCACAGACACTACGCAGTTATTCATTTAGCGGGGAGGTTTCCTCTGTGTCCCCTCTTCGTTGCCTAGGTCATGCCTTAATGCCAGGAAGGTCCTTTTTAGGAGCTCCCTGTGTCCTTCGTGGAAATCCCTATGCCTTTCAAGGGTGCTTAGTAGCAGTGTTCCCTGTATGCGGAGCGCATGGGTGGCCACCCAGGACAGATTCAAATACTGCCCAGCTGATTAGGAGTGTGCCCACATGTGTCAGCAGCCTGTGTTTCTACTGGTGGTGCCCATCCTCAGTGCACATAGCAAAATTTATTCTGCACAGGGATGGAAAAAAATTGGAGGGAACACTGCTTAGCAGTGGGATTACCTTCCTCCTCCAGTCCTTCCTTTAACTGTACAACAGCCTCCCCTAGGAACTGAGATGCAGGAGAGTCCTTCATGGTGGGGGACTGGGCTGAATGGAGAGTCAAGGAGGAAGCTCGTCGGGGGCTGGCACTTTGGTGGGAACTCCAAGTTGGCTCTTGGTTCCATCCAAGACCCAAAGGTCACTCAAGCCACTGGGAGTCCCGTTGGTGGGTTTTCAATTGGGCCCTTAGAAACAATCCTTACAACCATCCATCTCTCCCCTGTCTCTGCTCAGCTCCTGCACCCGCCTGGTTCTGGGGGTTCTGCCAGCACTGGCTGCATCTTTCTCAGCGCAGCCTTTTCCTTCAGGAGATACATTGACCACCAAGAAAGATGCATCCCCAAGCAAGGAGCACCTCTCCAGGGGCCTATGCCCTCGCATATACACTTTGGATGCGACAGTGAGTTTAGTAGCTGGGGTAGCGACAGGGAGCCATTTGCACTAACCACCTTATCACAGAGAAACCATTCACAAAAACAAAAGGGAGGTAAAAATGTAACATTGAAACGCAAGGTTAACCCCCCCACATACAGTCACATGGATTCATGACCAGCAATTGCGTACCAGCAAGATGCCCTCTGCAATCCCCAATATGCTACACTTCTATAGGTCTCTCTATAATGGACCTAGTGTAAACCACTCCAATGACTTCAGAACTACACCAGCCAGTTCATACCAGCTGCCCTAGACAGAGTACCACCTATTCAAGAACAGGGAAATAAATGCTTCATTTCTCAAAATGTGCAGTTTGTATATTTTATTTTAAATAAATTTGCTTTTAATAAAAGCAGAAAATATATATATATATATATATATTTATAAGTCTTTTTTTTTTTTCTAATGAACTGGCAAAGAATTTCCTTTTTAACTCTCTGGCAGGCTGATGCCAACGGCCCCGCAGAGAGAAAGAGCGAGTTAGCACAAAACAATACCACCCAGAAAAGGACAGAAAAACAAATATATATATTATATAAATGTATAATTTTCATAAAACATATATTAAGGCATGTGTAGCAAAATAAAGGGCTAGCTTCATGAGCTATTGGGAGATTTCATTATGGGAGTAGGGCTATTTTATGTATTGCTAGAAAGAAAGAAGGAAAGAAGGACAGAAAAAGAAAAAAGAGAAAGAAAAAGAAAAAAAGAAAGAGAAAAAGATCTGATTCAACAGGGACATGGGGAAAGTTCTGTTTCCTACCAAAATTAAAGCTAGACAGACAGACGGACAGACAGACAATCTAGGGAGATGCTGGCTAAATCCCATTGGGCAGAGAGGTTCTGTTTCCTCAGATGCTATGTGTATTGTCAAACTAGGAAGGAAAATTGATTCACAGGCTACATCAGATAGGCAGCCAGCTCTCATTTTACTCACTCGGGGCACGTCTACACGGCAGGGCTAAATTAGAATTAAGATACGCAACTGCAGCTATGTCAATTGCGTAGCTGAAGTCGAGATAGCTTCATTCAGCTGTTGGCTCTGTCTACTCTTCCTTCGACTTCCCTTACTCCTCGTGAAATGAGGGTTACCATGAGTCGGAGTACGAAGTCCTCCAGCTCGACATTATTTCGGAATAACGCTGCTGTGTAGACGTACCCTTGGAGCCATATCTGGGAAGAAGTAGACATCGTGCTGAGCACCTGTGCCTTTTTTAGACTCGGCTGGAGATGGGGGCTCTCAGCAGCAACCATGATCAGGCCAATGGGGAAAGGAAGCTAAGAAATAGATTGAGCTTGACTTGCATCTCCATCACATTGCCTCTGTCAGAACTACTGCCTCAAGTTTCAAGGGCGAGGACAAGACTGTTCTTCCTCCATGTAGGGAAGACACAGAGACACAAACTCTAATACAAGGTACAGAGTTTGACTGTCCACTCCAACAGTCTGCTCTGAATGTAGTTTGTTTTCCTTCAGGCTAATCCTGGTTTGCAGCAGTGTAAGCTAAAGCAGAATCAGTTACAAAAGTTTGATCTGAGAACAGAGCACCTAACTGTACTGGAAAGTCCACAAGAAAGGGGTTTTTGACAGGTGGCTGGTTGGGAACACCGTGCCAGGCACTCTATGACTGCCATTGGCCCCTCCCTTTCCACCCAAGGCTCCGCCCAGAGCTGGTCCCCACCACATTTTGCCCTACTTGACAACACCACTGGGAAAGCCTGACACTTGGGGCTTTCCTGTTTTAGCTCAGTTTCATTACACTGACCCATTTCACATACAGCCAGCAACATTTCATAGCTTCGCACTTGAAAAAGAAGATTTTGGAGTGCAAAAACAAGCCCATTTCCAACCCAGAGTGGTGTTGGTTTTGAGCACAGGCCTCAATTTCAGATTTGGGAATTTTAAAATTCCATTCTCCACAACAAACTGAACTGGAATTTCAGGTTTGAATACAAAACCTGCCATTTTCATGGAGCATTCAAAGGAAAATATTATTGCTACGTTCCCCCTCCCCCAATAAAAAAGTATCTGCAATGAAACTGCAAATTTTTTTTTTGTGAATATGGGGGCGTGATTTTCAAAAGAATTTAACTTCTTATATAGATACCAAGATAAGTGGCCAGATTTTCAGAGCGGTTTTGAAAATCTGCCCCTCAATATCTCAGGGGGAGCTGTGCATATGGGCACTTAAAAATCATGCCCTTGCTTAGGTGCCTAAATGGACACTTGCAAATCCACGCCACGGGTGGAAAATACATTTGCAATTTGCAGGCAGCCCTGATTTTGAGATAGGACAAGGAAACCAACTTGGGCAGACATAAGAAACCTCCCTCATCCAAACCACTGCTTGAACTGAGCTATCTAGATGGACTCTCTCACATCTGAGTTCCCATTGGGAAGCAGCGGTGCTGAAATAATGCGAGGTTCTGCAGACCCCGATGGATCAGGTAGTGCTGATCAGCTTCAGAAAAGCAGCCAACCTCTTGGATGCTTCTCAGAGCTATGGCTCTTCCCTCGCCCCTGATTCCCCCTCCCGAAGATGATTGTTCTCTCACTGTATTGAGAAAACAGTGAAGCCACATCTGGAAGAGCAGATGCCTCTCATAAGGTATTGCAAGCACGGAGAATGCGGAACAGAGACAGCGCAGCAGTGACTCAGCACCCTTCACACCTGATCTCTGTTATTCCAAAACGTCAGAGGAACTATTCTAGCTATTCAGGAGGAAAGAAGGCCGGGATGGGAGGAGTGGTGCTTGTGAGTTCCGAGTGTCAATTCCCTACATGCTGTTCCACGCGCAAATACCGCAGGGAGTTAGATGTTAGAGACACTAGCTCATTTCCCAAAGTTCCGTAGGGACTGCCAGCCTGGATCTGACCAGGGGCCAGCCAGTGCAGTACCCTGTCACCAGAAGCAAAAGAACGTGCAAGAACTCTGCAGTGGGCGATTCTGGAATAACGTGTCCCTGAGGAAGTTTCTCCCATGGAAGTTGGATTATAGCCTGAAAGCAGGAGGGATTAAGCCCATTCCCAGCCTTGCTCCTATTCCCTTAGGCCTCCCAGCTCTGGCGTCTCTTCCATGTGGGGGCTAGGCAGTGCTTTCTAGATCGAGGCAAGAGATGTTACATGGCATCTGCCAAGACCACTACAGGAAGTGCCTTTCTAGGTCTTCACTAATCCATCCAGTCCACCCATAGACAGCAAGAGAGCTGTTCACTCAGTCACTTCTCCATCATTTTTCCCCATCTAGTATTATGTAGCTGTGCAACAGCCCCAGTTGTAGAGTGAGTGCGTGTGTGTGTACGTGTATGTGCATATAAACTGTACCAATTCCTCTCTTTCACCCCACTCCCATCCCATGGAAACGGGCATTGCCTTGGGCCAAGCAAAACTCTGAGGAAGGGCACCTATTGGTACTGTCCAGAACCTGCCCCCCTACGCCTATCCCCCTTTCTCCTCATCGTCTCTGCGTGCAAACGGCTCCCTCCTGAAAGCATCAAGGCTTTGCCTGGTGATCGACACCAGCCACTTCGGCTCTCCTACCTCTGTCCTGCTGTATCGTTCAGCTACTCCCTTACTACATGCCCACACACCTTGCACAGACCTGCTTTCACAGCACCCTTGGCCCGGGTGGGGCAGCACTGGTATGTCACAGACACAGCTCTATCTCGCTAGCTTTGTAGATCCCATCACTACTCCCTTTTTCTGCCCGGGAGCCTTTTCCTTCCCTGGCTCCTCTTCCCGTCCGTCCTGGATGCCTGTTCCTTCTTTCCCTTGGATGCTTGTGAGCGGGAGTGGGGAAACGTGGCCGAGCCAGGTTTTGCGGGTGGCTAGCTTCAGAGATTCCAAGCCAGGCGGGGAATGGAGATGGGCTGCTCGCGCCAGTGGAGGGCTAGAGCAACCTCCAGTTGCAGCGACGGCTCGGTCCCCATGCAGAAGCCCCTTTCGGACACAAGTCAAATATTTTAGTGCGGAAAGCAAAGGTAAACAAACCCTCCAGTGCAACACCGTCCTCCCGATGAGCTATTCCAGCCACGGAACAGAGTGTTGGGTAGCTGCATGTGTCCTGCCTGGAAGTTATGCCAGCTGTGGAGCAGGGCCCATCTCCCAGATTTACCAGTGTGGCCGGCAGCCCATCCATGACACTTCCTCCTGGGATGGCCCAGGCCGCAGAGAGAAGTCTCCCGTGCTCTCCTGGGCAGCAGGGGCCGACTCACAGCGCCTTTGTCCTGGATGATCTCACCGTTTGTTAGAGGAAGGGGCTCGGGGAGAACCGAAAGCGATGAGCGAGGAAAGGTTTGGTGGTCGAGTCGGGACGCGCATGTGCGTGCGTTAAAACGTGGCTCCGTGGAACTTCACCGCGTTCACAGCAGCCAGGGCTTGCGCTGGAGGGAGGAGAGGAGAAGAACTGAGAGGCTCGGGCCCGCCACCTGCCGGGAAGCGTGGCAGAAGTGAGCCTGCATCATGCCCCATGGCAGGAACGGTTAGGACCGGATGGAAGGCCACTATCTCCACCCAAGCACTTTCAGTCCATACCAAGGGGCGCCAGAGGGGCCTGATGCAGCCGCTCCACCAGTAACTAAAATCCCAGGGCAGGAAAGGCTGTTTGTTAACTGGCCTCTGTAACCGAAGAGAATTAAGGATGTTTGGGAGGAACTCTCGTACTGGTGACGGGAGCTGGGCCAACAGCCACGGGAGACAGGCTCGGCTGGTCCCCCCCAGAGCAGATCCCACATGAGCAGGCTTGCTAGCCTGCTGATGGACCTCAACCCAGTCCCGCATGGCTGCCTTGTAGGGATGGCAGGAGATTTTGGTCTCCAAGACCATTTACTCCTTAGCTGACAAGTCAGGGCAGCTCAGAGTTGCGTGCCCTTGGGCCTACCCTGAAATACCCCCACTCTGAGCTCACACAGGCTCATGCACAGCCACGGGATCGTGACTCACTGCTGACTTGGGCTGGATTGGAACCAGCTTCCTCCAGGCAAAGGGTTTCTTTGCGCATGCTCGTCCCGTCTCCTTGATTTTTGGCCATCATTCCCAGGGTGGGTTATTTACATGACTTTGTCTATGCAGTGAATGGAATCATCTCTCTCGGTGCAGGGCATATTGTTTTTCTTGACTGTTTTCTCCTCTAATTTGCACCCTTGACTTTCCACTGGAATCACTTCTAATTTACAGGGGATCTAAGCAAGGCAAGAGCCTGGCCCACATCAGACTCCATTCTCTGCATGACCAAAGCAAGCTATAAGGAATGGCTTTGGCTTAGCCAGAACCCACTTCATCACCCTCCCATCCAGCTGGGCTGCCTGATTTCAAGCAACCAAGTCCTCAGTATAACTTAACTACCCCATCAGCTTTTCCTTTGTAGCCAGAAGGAAATCCCAGAGAAGAGTCTTGGAGCTAAAGAGAGATGAGTGGAGCAGGGTGGATAAAAATCAATTATTTAAAAAATGGATTAAAAATCAATTAAAAAATTTAAATTCAATACACTGTTCTTTTTAAAAATCAAGTATTTAAAATTAAAAGTGAAATTATGACAACCCATGTTGAGGCCTAACCTTACTATAGATAATTAAAATAATGTATTTTCAATAAAAAATATAAAATTCAAGCAGTGCACGTTTGCTGCCAAAGTTTTAGAGAAAGTCCAAGCATAGAAACTGGTGGAAGGTACTGGCTAAGAAGCTGAAACCTGAAGAGCAAAACCAGCTTCTGACAACAGTAGCCTTTTCTGCAGGTGCACAGAGATTATTTTGATCACTCCAGTTTATTCAGTTAGTTGAGTTCAATGACTGAGAAACCAATGAGGAATTGAAAAAATAAGCAAGTTTGCTCACCTCTTCCAGTCTGTGACTAAAAACCAGGTGTAAGAGGAGCAGATCTACTAGTTCTAAACTCATGGGCTACGTCTAGACTGGCCCCTTCTCCGGAAGAGGCATGCAAAGCAGGCAAGTCAGAATAGGGAAATCCGCGGGGGATTTAAATATCCCCTGAGGGATTTAAATAAACATGGCCGCCGCTTTTTTTCCGGCTTGGGGAAAAGCCGGAAAAGAGCGTCTAGACTGGCGCGATCCTCCGGAATAAAGCCCTTTTCCGGAGGATCTCTTATTCCTACTTGCAAGTATTTAAATCCCCCGCGGATTTCCCTATTCTGACTTGCCTGCTTTGCATGCCTCTTCCGAAGAAGGGGCCAGTCTAGACGTAGCCATGAAGGATAGGGTGATCAGCAGTCATCAGAGCTATTCACGAACCACAGTTGATGTTTCCTTTCTTTATCAAAATATGTTTTACATTTAAAACTGATGTATTAAACTTCTTTTATTTTCTTATCTATTCAGTACATTTAAGGGACTTTTATTTAATTAACAAAAACATTTTGAAATGTTCTTCTTGCGCTTTTTAATCGAGTTCTACTTTTCACCCAAATGCAGATTGGCATAAATCATGTGTAAAAATGAATACACAAGAAATGCACCATTCCCCATTAGCTACCATCATAAAAAATGACATGTCTGAATAAATGTATGTTAAGCAATATAACCACTTAAATAAACATGTATGGATATAATCCAACATTCTGGTTAGCAAAAAGTACCAACCAATGAAAATCAGCTTTATAATAAGCAAATAACTAAAAAGTTTAAATGTAAAACACATATTAAAACTGGTTATTTAAAACAATTTTCCTGCTTTAAATTGTGTTTTAAAGCCATGATTAAACTCATTTTGATTTACAACAATCCACCCAGTGGTGCAGTTCCACGGACCTTAGTGGAACTATGCCAGTTTATCCTTGTGTAGGATCTGCCCCTGGGATTTGAAACAAGAGCCTGTTTCGATTTCTATGCGCCTGGCACTCATTCCATGGGAGGAGACTGGGCTAACGTGGCAGAATAGAGCGTTAGCTTGGTGAGAAACAGCATATGAATGGAGGGGAAGAGGCAACTGTTGAGTGAGGTTCCCACGGTTGCCCCTTGAGGCTGAGATGTACAGAGGATGAGATGAAGTACAATAGAAAAGGTGCTTACTTCATGGCTCAGACACGCATAAAATGGCTGCTGTCGCCGACCCGGGATGACTCAGACGAGAGGGGGTTTGTCGGTGGAGACGGGGAGGCTGGGGAGGTGGGAGGACTCGGGGTGGCACATTGAGCTGGAAACAAGAAATGGAAAAGGGCGTGAAGAACACGGTGCAGCAGCAGGCAAGGGGACAAAGGGAACAAAGCAGGGAGCAAATTCCAGAGGAAGGCAGAGAGGTTAGAGACTGGGGAATATTAAAAAGGAAGGAAGCATGGTCAGAAACGACACAGAGATACAAATGCTTCCCCCACGGGGTGCGCACGTGAGCTCCACGCTGAGATCCTCATGGACTAAGGCGAAGAGGGCAGGCTGCGTCTGTCTGCAGGGACATGGGCATGGGACTCAGCACCTCCGTGCTAGTACAGCCTCCCACAACACACTGCCAACACCAGGGCTTGGGTGTTTCCTACTCAGCTCTAGAGCTGAGCTGAGACAGCGCAAAGCTGGAGGCCACAGGCGGAACCCCAACGGGCCACATACGGCCCACAGATTGCCCACCACTGATTTAGCATCAAAGCCCCACCTATTTACCCGAGCTGCATATGGTCTGACTACCAGGCCCCCGATTCTGCTCCTACACACATGCCAATTCACAGAGGTCAGTGGCGTTATTATTCCTGATTTACACAGGTGGGATAGGAGAGTCACACCCTTATTACTGGAATTGCCTGGGTGACGTGATGGGCTTGATTTGCCACTGTGCTAATTCAGTTGTACACTGGTGTCGCTCCATGGATTTCAGCATAGAAACCACAATAGCCCAGTGGAGGGTCTCCCTCTGTGGGCCAGATTCTTAACTGGTGCAAATTAGCATAGCTCTATCAAAATTATGGGAGTTCCCCTGATTTACACTACCTGAGGAGCTTGGCCTAGGTACCGATCTTGTTTCTAGGATCCTACCAAATTCACACACCATTTTAGTCTATTTCACGGTCATAGGATTTTTAAAATGGTAGATTTCATGATTTCAGCTATTTAAATCTAGAATTTCCCCAGGTACGTCTAGACTACAGGCTTCTGTCAACAAAGAGTGTCTAGACTACATCCAGTTCTGTCGACAAAGCAAGCCGCTTTGTCGACATGACAGTGTAGAAGCACAGGACAGTGTAGATGCAATAATGCTTTCTATTGACAGAACTCTGTTGACAAAAGGCGTTATTCCTCGTAGAATGAGGTTTACCGCCGTCTACAAAACTGCTGAGTTCTGTCGACGTTATGTCGACAGACCTCGGCGGTAGTGTAGACGCAGGTATAGTTTTGTCGACCAAAGTCCACTTTTGTCGACAAAACCCTGTATCTAGACGCCCCCCCGCCCGTGTTGTAATTGTAGGTGTCCTATCCAAAGAAGAAGTTGCAGGGAAGGGAGGGGAGGGGTCACAAGATTATGGTAGGGAGGGCGTGGTATTGCTAACCTTACTTCTGTGCAACTGCTGGCGGCAGCCCTGGGGAGCGGCGCAGCCGTAGGGCAGTGGCTGCTGGGCAGAAATCCAGGACTGAAGGCAGAGCTCCTGCCAACAGCTGTGCAGAAGGAAGAAGGGCACGCTATGGTGTTGCCGCCCTTACTTCTGTGCTGCTGCCTGCAGAGCTGGGCCCTTAGTCAGCAGCCAATACTCTCTGGCCACCCAGCTCTGAAGGCAGCCGTACAGAAGTAAGGGCAACATGGGGATGATATTGCCGTCCTGACTTCTGCACTGCTGCTGGCAGGGTGTTGCCTTCAGAGCTGGGTGTCCAGCCCACATTACAATCACCAATCTCCAGTTGCCCAGCTCTGAAGGCAGCGCAGATGTAAAATAACCTCCTGCAACTCCCTTTTGGGTCAGGACCCCCAATTTGAGAAACGCTGGTCTCCCCCATGAAATCTTTATGGTATAGGGTAAAAGCACACAAAGGGCCAGATTTCACGGGAGGACACCAGATCTCATGATTCGTGATGCATTTTGCACGGCTATGAATTTTGTAGGGCCCTAATTATTTCTAGAGGCCCTTTCACTATACCCAACCTCATGCTTACATCTCACTGTTGCCTGGTCGTCCCTAACACTCATTTTACCCGGAGTTCAGTCTTCTGCCCTTAATGCAGGTAAATCCATGGTCAGACTCAGCAGGACTTGCCCATGTCATTAATACCCTCTCTCTGGTTGGCTCCTTTTTGGCTTAGGGCCCACGGCATCGCCTGTGCCTCATTCGTTACCATGACACTGCAGTTCCGTGCCTCTCGAGGGCCTTACCAGAGAGCATGCGGCCCAGCCTGGAGGCTTCTGTGGCCAGCGTGCAGGATATCTCTATCCTCTTCTCCTGTTCCTGGAGCTGCGTTTCTGTGTCAGGGGGTGCGTCCACTTCTCCCTCGCTTAGGGGAATCACATTCTGCAAGCTGCAGCAGAGAGAGCTTGGTGTTACAGCCCCCGTGTCCATGGCAGACGCAGCAATGGCCCGGCCGAAAATACAGGGAGTGCTTGGAAAGGCCCAATAATTGGAGGTTAGGCCAGGGCAGAATGCCAGGGTGATTGGGTAGAAGGATAGATAGGAGAGATGAATGGAATGAGGGGAGGTGGGTGCATGCTTGAGCGGAATGGCAGATAGATGGGTGGCTGGCTGGATGAGTCGTGTAACAAGTTAGTGGGCGCATGAATAGATGAATCAGGAGGCTCCAGGAAGGGATAGCTCAGTAAATGGATTTGCAGGTGTGCGAAGGGCGGGCGGACAGACAAACAGTGGCTGTAGCAGATGGTGGATGGTCAGAAAGGTGCACCAGGGTGTGGGCACAATAGACCGGGTGGCAGCGTGGCACAGCTGGGGCTGAAATGGGTCCAGAACAGCACCATCACCTGGATTTGGCAATGAGCGTCTTTATCCTTTCCACTTTCTTCTGCTTCTCCTTCATCTCTTCGGGGCTTAGGGGGGTGTCTGGTTCCAGCTCAATGTACCGCTCCGGAATGAGGACCTTGTCTGGGGTAGAGAGCTAGGAGGAGGCAAAAGCAGGTCTTGAGTCCAGGAGTCTGCAGCCAACATAGGGGAGACGGAGGAGCCACCGCAGCCAGGACCTGTCCCTGCTCCAGCTCCTCCTTCAGGGCTCACGCACCCGGCTCTGTGACCCAGATATCACCTGTCCCTGCTCCAGCACCCCTCTGGAATCCAGAACCAGCCCAACACCCATCTCTGGCCCACATCCCACACGACACTCACCTTACACAGCACTCTTCCCTGCTCCAGCCCTGAGTCCCAGGCTATAGGACATAAGGGCCTGAGCAACATGAACACCCCAAGGGACCTGTCCCTCCAACCCAGACACCATTCCCTCCCCTCTACCCTGTGCCCATGTCATCTCAGAGGAGCTATGCCTCCCCACCATGTGCACAGTCTCCATAGCAACCTGCTTCCATGGCCACACCAGAGACCAGGCCTCACCTCCTTATTGATGTCGACATCATAGTGCTGCGGCTCCAGCTCCATCTTGCGTAGCCGGGCGATCTCCTCCCTCGGCGTCTCGTAGACTTTGCCAGGGTCCTCGGTGCGCAGTGCGGCCTCCAGGTCAGAGATGTCCACCTCGTGGATGCTGCGGTGTCGGCGTACCTGGAACGGGCAGCGGCTACCTCAGAGCTAGGGTGGTCCCAGTGGGATCGTGCCCCGGCTGGCTCCAAGATAGCACGGCCTGACACTGGACTCACAAATTCAGGAAGGGTCTCTGTCTTGCTGGCCTTTACCCCACTACCTTGCCTCACCCACTCCTCCACAGACCCCCGGAGCTGCCCATCACCATAGCATCAGAACAACTCCCACACCTGCTTTCTGCTGGCAAGCTCTTCTCTACATCCCCATCTCTCTCACACATCCTTCAAGCACCCCACCATGGGCCTTCCTCCTCCCTGCTGGCTCTCCCCTTCATGCCCCCAAATATCGGACCACCGATGCATTGCAGGCCCCAGCCTTTGTAATAATTATACCATCAAGTTCCCCTGCAGCACGTTGTCTTCCTTTGAAAGCACTGATGGAGTCTCATTAATCCCAATTTACAAATGAGGAAACTGAGGCACGGGGCAGGGAAGTGACTCGCCCAAAGGTTGTCCAGTGGCAGAGTTGGGAAAAGAACCCCCCCCCCCCAGGAAAAGAACCCGGTCCCCCCAGTCTCAGTCATGTGCTCTAGCCACTAGGCCACACTGCCTTCAGGTAAGTCCTAACAAGATCTTCTGGTCTCCATTCTGATCAGGGAAAGATGCAGCATCTGGAACCCCCCGAGGAGCCTGGAGACAGGACAAGCTCAGGGATATTGCTTTGTGGAAGGCCAGTGGGAGAAATGCAGATTCCACCCCCGGAGCCGACAGTGGACCTAGGAAATCCTTACCACTTTGTAAGACGCGGGTGCCTTCATGCTGGGGGCGTCTGGCTGCTGATTGGCTGGGAGCTGCAAACTCCGCCTTTTTTCCTTCATGGATCCGCTTTGGTGCCGTTTCATCCGGTCGATCTGCTCCTCCACGCTCATTTTTGCCTTCGTCTCATTGGTGAACACGGCGCTCTTTGGCCTATCCTGGGAAGAGCCCCCAAAGACCCAATTACAGCGCGTTCCGCAGTAGCGAGTTCAGACTTGGCATCAGTGCCATAAACCTGCTGCTCGCCACTGCCTGCCTACGGGAAAGGCTTCTGGCGCCTCAGCAGCTGTTCCGGGGAAGCCCGGGATGGGAACAAGATGCAGGCTGCGGCTCTGGATGGAGGAGCATAAGCAGAGCCGTGGAGCGCAGGGCTGGGCTGGCAGGGGGCAATGGGTTGAGACTGAGGGGCACTGGCAGAGCTGTGTGCGTGGGTAGGGGTGGTGGGGTTGCACCAGGTCGGCTTTGGGGCCAATGAGAGTGGCGCAGACACTGAACGTGAGTTCAGACATTCAGACCAAGTTTGTAGCCTGGGGGCAGATTCCCAGGAGCTGCGGGGGCAGGCACGGCTTCAAACGCCACCTCCCTGTGTCCACACCGCTCAGGCAAACTCCTGTTCCTCTCACAGCGCAGCAACTCGAGGCTCCAAGGAAGCTTGGCCAATGGGCTGCGAGCCAGACAGCGCTTATGGGCTTCCGGCATCTTATCCCAGTCTCATCCTCTGCACCAGTCCTGCCTCCCCACAGCCCATCCGCACCCTTTACGGTGCCTCATCTCCTACCCCGCCCCGATCCACACCCCTGCAGGCCCTCTACTTCCCGCCAGGCTCCTGTGACAAGTTAGGCAGAATGCCACGGCCTACCCGAGAATTCAGCCCGTTGGACACAGTGCTGGCACTTCTCCTGACCACGCCTGAATGGGGCGCAGAGTCCTCGTCGATGGGAGATTTGGTCCTTGGGGGAACGATGCCAACTGGGGAGAAGCAAAGGAGAAGATGAATGCTTGACCCCCAAACCGGCAGACTGCCCATGGCACTGCAGGCTCAGAACGAGGCTCCAGGGCCCCAAGCCGGTTTGGGACATGGCAGGAGCTCTCCTGTCTGAATAGTCCACAGCTCCTTGCCCTTTCTCAGCACTGCCCATCTGCTGGGCGCAGAAGATGTGCTCTCAGAGCATGGGTTCAGACGGTTGCTGGTACTCCCTGTGCTCTTCAAGGGAATGCCACCAGGCTACTCAGCTCTGGGAATTCATACAGATGCATGGCCCTTCTCCCACATCTTTCCCCCCGAGTGTCTCCCAGCCCCAGCACCCCACGAGAATATTATTAATCCCATTTTATAGAGGGGGAAAACTGAGGTACGGAGCGGGACTGTGACCTCAACCCCAAAGCAACCTCACTAGTCAGTGCAGAGCCAGAAACAGAACCCAGGAGTGCTAGCCTCCCACAGCCTGCTGGGATTACTAGAACAATGTAATCACATTGTGTGCTTCACAGCTAGAACATGAGGAGGAAGGGCTGATCGGTTAATGCTCTGAAGAGTCTCCGGACGCCACTGAAGGAATGTCCCCAGACATGGATGGACCTCAGCAGGTGCAGCAGGGGGGAACAGCCTCTATCCTGACCCCTATCCAGAGAGGCAGGGGGAAATACGAGGGTGTCTCCCTTGCACCTCCCTCCAGCGCTCTCAGTAGCATGCTCCTTTGGGTGCAGGCCGATGGCCCTGAGACCAGTTTACTACGTCCTCTTAACCTGCTCGGAGAAAGCACCATGGATTTGGATAGAAAAATTCCCCAACACAAAATCTAAGAGGTGAAGCCTCCTTCTGGGGCCACCCTGAATTTTTGCTGGCCAGTGCCCCCCACCCTGATTTCCCCTGCTTGGATTTTATGGGTGAGAGAGGAGATAACGCGGGTATGGTGGGTACCTTTGTTGAGAGCCGCTTGCTTCTCAGCATCCTGCTCTTGCCTGGTCTGCAGGAGCCCAGCTTCGGTGGGTGGGAGGGGGGCGGAGCTCCGAGGGGCGTCTTTCCGATTCGGCTCAAAGCTGGCCTGGGACTACGGAACGAGAGCGGATTCGCTGGTGAGCAGCTGAGCTCTTCAAGAGGAGCTGCTGGCAGGGCAGCTGGGGAGACACGCTGCCTTTGGACCTCTGCCACTCATTAGCCAGGGGACAGCAGACAGAGAGGATACATGCAGAGAAAACACACACACACACACACACACACACGAAACAGCAACTGGGAGAAGCATCTAGGCAGGTTTTCATGCCCACCCACCCCTCTTCCCTAGTGTGGGCACAAGATCCAGTCATCTGGACAGAGAGGAAGGCGACAGCTAAGCTGGGCTTGGAGCTGCAGAGCCGTGACCAGGCATGTTCACCAAAGTGTTGGAGTCTGGGGCTAGGGTCGATGGGGGTCAGCTGGGCCGGCTTTGCCCCGTCACTCAGCAGAAGCATTAGTGAACTAGCACGTGCAGGATGTTTTGCTCGCCTTGTGAAACACGAGGCACGTCTGCCCCACAGTGAGACTCTCTGCTAGTTTTCTTGTGGGTTGGGGACTGTGGACTTAGTCTCCTGGGACCTGATCCAAAGGCCTTGTGAAGTCAATGGAGATTCCCACTGATTTCCACGGGCCGGGCATCAGATGGAGGTTGCCGACTGCAAGCCTGAACGAACTCACATTAAAGCCTGTGGAAAGGATCCCGCTGACCCTAGCCGGAGCTAGGAAGATGATTAACCCCTGCTACAATCCCACGCCAGGCCCCCTGGTAATTCCCCAGCTCACGTAATTCAGGGATGAGAGATACTCAAATGGGCCTGCGGCAACCCCCTTGACACAGGCTCTGCCCTATCTCCGCTCTGCCCCTACCCCCAAGCTCCACCTCTTCCCACCCCTGCTCTGCCTCCTTGCCTGAAGCCCCCGTTCCCCGAATTACATGAGCCGGGGAATTACCAGGGGGCCTGGTGTGGGGTTGCAGCAGGGGTTGACCCCCCCCCCACTGCTCTGCGCTGCCCCACTGCCTTCTCCCACTTCATTGTGCTCCACTTCTCGGCAGCGGTGGGAAGCAGAGCCCCCTGGGGCCGGGACCTGGGTGCTCAGAAAGCTGGGAGAGGGCATCGGAGTGGAGCAGGCTGCTGGGTTACTCCAGCTCTCACCGCCACGGTGAGTGCAGGAGAAGCCATCCTCTGCTAGTCCCCTGTATTCTCCTGGGCCTCCCTGAGCCCTGGGGTCCCATCCATAGGACGTTTGAGGCGGCCACCGCGGGGCCCCCCAAAAGCATGAGACCTAGGGCGGCTGCCCTGAGCCGTCCTGTCGATGAGACGGCTCTGCTCAAGTGATTTGCGCTCCCTAGGTTGGACGAGCCATTAACAGATCGTGCTCCGCAGTCTGCGAAGTTCGTGAGTCTGCCAAGCAGCGACAGGAAGCACAAGCCATGGAGCTTTAGAAAAATCAGGGTGTTGTGGGCAGAACCTGAAAAATCAGCAGAAGCCCAGAGAAAGGTTGTTTCTCTACCCTTGTGCCCTGCCACGTCTGCAACAATCCTGCCTCAGCTCCTCTTCCTCCTGCTTCCATTTCCACTCAGACAACATTCCCCATGGCCTCCCAATTATGGCAGAGGTGGGTGGATGGCAGGTAAAATAGGGCCAGGGGTGCAGAGGACATTGGATGGGTTGGAAGAATGAGCCAGTGAGGGGTTGAAACCTCAGCCACTTGCACTAATTCCCCTCCTGCACTCAGCCCTAGCTCGGCACCTCCCTGCAGCGTGTCTCCTTTCTAGGGGCCTCACTCGGCATCCTGAGGGTTAATTAAGCCTTGGGGTGGCCAGCATTCATAACGACCACATCTCAGAACATTGTCCTCAAAAAGCAACCACTCCCCTGCAAATGAAAAAGGCTTCTGACCAAAACACCCATTTTTGCAGAAAATTTTCATTTTGCTCGATCTTTGCCTGGTGTGATGAAACATTTTGACCAAAAAGAAAAATAGCATCAAGGAAAAGATTCAGAACAAAATAATTCAGGAAAATTAATTATATTTTGGTGGGATTTTTTTGTAATTCTTTTCTACTATGATATCAAAAAATAGTTTTTAAAGTGAAAGAGAGTAGATTTTCCCCTTAATTTCTTGCTCTTTAAAAACAAACCCACTTCCTCCTCCATTTCAGTGGAAGAAAAACAGAAAGTTTTAAAAGCAGGATTTTCCCTCCACTAAACAAAACAAACATTTTCACCAAAAACCCCCACGTTTCAGAAAAAATTTCAAACAAAATGGAAATGTTTCCTTGTAAAAAAAACCAAAGTTGTCTCCATGCATTTATACATGCACAGGTCAGGCTGCAGGCATGCAACGCTTGTATGCGTAAACACCTATTGGCACTGACAATTTAACTGCTTGTTCGTGCTATTACCTTGAGGGTGCATGTGCATGGTTTGGCACGCCCAAGTATCCAGCCTCACACACTAGCATGCATTTTGCATGGGTGAGCTCACTTAGCTGCATGATGCTTGCTCTTTTTGTGGGGGTAAGTATTCAAGTTTTGGCCCCATGAATCTAAAAGAGTGAGCATTGTTCAGAGTCTCTCAGACAAGAGAAGACTCAGCACTTGACTCCAAAGACCAGGAATTTACTGGCCTGATTGTGCTCTGGTGTGGGTGTAAATCAGGAGTGACACCTGAAATTAGTGCAGTCATGCTGGTGTGAGATCAGAATCAGGCTCTGGACAGTTAATTTGTTACAGCCTAGTGCTGGAAGTGGCAGTATCCAGGCTGAATGAAGAAAGCCAGAGGGAGGGTGGAAGTGAAAAGCCAAGAGGAACCAGGCTGCTGGGCATGTGATGCTGCACATTTGAGTCTCCTGTGGGTGCCAATCTGGAGCGTGACATTGGCCTAAGGAAGAATCACTGGGAGGCCAGGAAGAGGCTCTGGAATTCTCTACTCACTCATGTGGCGGGTCCATAATGCCTGGCTTTCACAGCATCTTAGTGGCTGGCACAGTATCCCCTTCTCTGCACTGAGACCAGGCTGGCTTTAAGGGCGTTTCAGAGCATCTGTCTTTGGAGCTCAGCCACCCCAGTTCCAATGGGCCCAGCAGCAGTGTACCAGAAGCAGGCCTGGGGGCACACTTTGAGCAAGGTTTTAAGCACCGCGGCGTTCCATGGACAAGAAAATACTCGGCTCTTGCATAGCAAGCTGCACTAGTCTCAAAGGAGGCCATCGCAGGCCCCACTGGGCAATAGGGGTGTGAATGGTTAACCGGTAGGGGCTGGAGCAGCCCCTCCAAACCCCCAGGGTCCACCACAGGCAGGGGATGCACTGACCAACCAGATGATCAGCGCAGCCTTTGTCTGTGGCGGGCGGGGGGAGGGAGTGTGCACTCCAGCCCACTCCCCTTTTAATCAGTTAATGAGTTAAACAGAATATTTAACCAATTAAATGGGATTTTACATCCCTATTGGGCGGAGGGGGAAGCTGAAACACAGAGTTAGGCAGCACCTCGCCCATGGTCAGTGGCATGGCTGGAAACAGAACCTGGCTCTTCTGGGTGCAGGCCAGGTCCCTGCTTCTCAGACCATCTTGCCTGCCAATAAGTAATGAAGGGGGCAGAGCATTCCCACCTTGGAATGCCTGCAGGGCCTGGCTGCAGAAGGGCTCGGGCATAGCGTGTCCTTGTGAAAGCTGCTGCCCCGTGTCCATGCGTCTCCAGCTTGCCCATGGGGCATGCATGGCTCCCTGTGGGCAGCTTGCTCCCTGTACCTCTCCAGTGTGTGCAGCCATCTCTGCTTTGCACCCTCCCACCTTATTCCCACGGCTTTCCTGCTAGCCAGCTCCGGTTCCCCATGGAGAATGGGGATACTTCTGTGGAGACGCTTTGATACCTGTCCCCTCTTGGCCTCGCCGCTTTGCTGCCAGGAAGGAGAGTTAGGGTACGGCCAGAAGCGGCTCTCGCTAGGGAGCGGAGGAACAGTCGGAGGAGACTCCAGGGGGACGTACGATTTGGGGAGGGGAGGTCGAGGCGGGCCTGGTTCCTGGGGCAGAGAGGAAGCCAAAGTGTTAGACGCAACGGCAGGGAAACTGAGAGAACAGGAAGGAAAAGAAAGTTAGCAAGCGACCGAGACAAAGAGAGGCACTGAGCCCAAGGCGAGAGCAGCTGGAGCCCAGTCAATACAGCCGGTTCTGCTTCCAGGCTGAGCATTCGCTGTAGGACGCAGCAATGCCACCTCTCACCTCAAGTCTACAGCCAAGAACCCCACACCCAGCAATCAGCGTTCCCTGTAAGCCGGGCGCTTGGGCAACCACTCAGGAGAGATTCAAATGCTGCCCAGCTGATTAGCAAAGCGTCCACAGTTAGGTTTGTGTTTCTAATGGTGGTGCACATTCACACATGCTTCAGGGCATATAGAAAAAAATTATTCCGCACATGGGTGGAAAAGATTAGAAGGAACATTGCCAGCATCCCCTTCCTTTCACCAGAGGGACTGTTTACCTGCACCTGACGTGTTTACACCAGTGGGAGCCAGGCAGGGTAACTCCACATGCTGCGGTGAATACACCCCCCCAGAAAAACGATACCCCAGATCCGCTCACCCAGCGCTGGCCAGTCCTCCTGTTTTTGGAGGCCGGGCTCTGGCCCTTTGTTTCAGCATCACCATGACTTCGGTACCAGCTGGGCAGCCAACAGAAACTGAGAAGCCTCCCAAAACTAACATAACTCACTGGCCTCCATTTGAGTTTCTCTCTTTCTATCTAGGGAACATCCAACATGCCCAGCACTGGGTTATCTTGGTGCTGTCGTGGCTTTGAATGCGGGTCTCGCCAAAAGCTGGTCTCAAGCCAAACAAGGAGAGCAGAGAACAACAGGAATGTCTGGGCAATCTCAGATGAAGGGAAACCAGGGAGTTTCAGGCAACTCTAGGGTTCACTGAGCCCAGTCCCCAGTTTGGAGCATCCGTCGCCTTTGGTGCTGTTCCAAGTGGGAACCCAGGTCTCAGTCCAAAGTTTGCAAGTGGCCCATTTTACAAGGGGCTGAACCAAAACCTGCTTCTCTACATCCTGGGACTTCTGGGCCCCAATTTGCACCCGAAATGTGCATAGCCCTTCCTCCCCCATCTTCCCAATGGGCCACACCACAGCTCCATGTCCAAATCCACTTCCACCTTGGCCCTGACTTGTGCTGCCTGATCCCAGCTCTAGGGAGAAGCCCCGGCTCATGGGACGGGAAAGCCGGGAGCACCACCTGCTGGTGCGAAGAGAAAATCACCCGGGGAAAAGCCATAGAGCTCCCTTCCCGGGGCTACCTGCACTAGCCCCATGCAACAGCGGCTCCACTCACCTCGCTGGTCCCTTGCTTGGTGGGCGAGCCCTGGGAGCCCGACACGAGGGAGAAAGGGCTCAGGGGGCTGGTGAGGCTGGCAGAGCTCAAGGGGCTGGCAGGGCTGTTGGAGCTGAAGGTTCCCGAGGGGCCGGCAGCCACTGCGGAGACACGAGAGAGGAGAGAGCGGGATTGAGTGTGCCGCTCAGAGGCAGGCACAGCAGGGAAGGGCCATCGAACCCAGGGCTTCGGAGCTGCCGCTCGGACAGCTGCTCTTTCAGCGCCGCATGTCGCATTCAATGCCGGCGGTGCGGCCGTGCGCCGGGGGTCCAGTCGTCGCCGGTGCAGGTGCCGATACGGGCTTCCCCCCCTCCCCGGGAGCTATTCAGAGCAAGCTGCAGCCAGGCAGCGCCACATGCAGCCAACGCCTTCTGGAGGAAGCAGCAGGAGGCTGTCCTGAGGAGGGACCTGATGTGCGCGTTGGGGAGGACCTAGAGATGGGACCTCGTGGGCTCATTTCAGACACCCTGGCTGCCTGTGGGACTGCCTTTAACACAGCCCTGGGGCTCCAACCCACATCCTTTTGCTCAAAAAACCAAATCTGCGGAGATTCTCCATTAGACAGGCTACTCTTAGGGCCCCTCCCCTCTGTGGGCTGCAGCCGCGCAAGTTGGGAACTGGTGATGCTCACCGAGTAATGGTTAGCTTACTTGGGAGCAGCCCCCCAGGGAAGCAGCAGGCCAAGGGGAGGGGGCCTGCCAGCTCCTAGCCCGTGTTGGCAGGGAGCCGGCAGCCCCTCTCCCTTCTCCCTCACCTGCCTTTTCCAGCCAGTGCGGGGCCGGAAGCAGCCAGGCTGGAGCAGCGCTTGCTTGTGGCGGAGGGGCCGCTCCAGCCTGGCCGTGGTGGGCAGGGAGGCCTGGATCAGTTAACTGATTAAATGGGGTTTTACGTCTCTAGCAGCCCCAGGAGAGCGACACAGTCACGGAGCCCGGAGCCGGCATGCCACCGAACGCCAGGAACATGTGATGTTCGGGCCTGTCCCTAAGCCGCAGGGTGACTGTGCTGGCGGAGGGATGACAGGACGTAGGGCGCCGAGACACCTCTGCAGCCAGCAGCCTCTAGCTGCCAGGCCAGGGGAAGGGAGGGAGCGGCAGGCCCAAGGCGGGACGGGTGGAGGGTGGAGGCAGCGCTCACCTCTGTGTTTGGCAGTGTCCGTGCCCCGGGAGGGGTTGTTCTTCCTCAGCCCCTCCATCACGTCCTGGATCCGCCAGATCTCCTTCTGGATTTGCCGGTTGAGCATCTCGTTCTGCCAGGGCCAAGGTGCAGAGAGTCAGAGCAGCCCAGTCCCAGGAACGCTGCGTGGCCCTGCCCACCTGCCCTCTGAGGCGATGTTTACGTGACAGTCGCAGCACTGGCATGACGACGGAAGAGGTTCTTCTGCCGCAATGGTTCATCCCCTCCCTCCGAGAAGTGGTCGCAGGGGGAATTTGTCCTCCCACCTTGCACCATCTAGACCAGGGCTTAAGGCTTAACCGCCTCTCTCAGGGGTGTGATTTTTTTACACCCCCCGAGCAAAGTTGCTAGGCAACCCACGGGCTAGGTGTAGGCCAGGCCTGACTTATCCTGTGTCTCTATCCTCAGCTCCTCCTTCAGCCTGCTAATGGTGGGGACACCCGCCCAGCACCATCACAAAGGGGGTGTCTGAGCAAGGAGCAGGACCTGCTGGGGGCATGAGCGAGGAGTGAATAGCGAAGGGCTTTGCAGGGCAAGTTGGCCCCAGCATGCCCGGAGCACACAGTGGGCTGATTACTGGCCTCTCCCCCACTCCCCGACCCCTCACGTCCATCATAAAGAGCCCGAAATGGAATGCAGCATCAGAATCCGTCGCCTGCTCGGAAAACGAACAGCGAGGCTGGGATCCACAAAGGCATTTCGGCACCTACAGACCTCTGTGCATGCCCATGGGAGTTAAGCACCTAAAGACCTTTGTGATTCTCCTTCCCCTCTCCACCAAGTCCACGTCAGTGTTCATCTTGCATAGATGCTGCCATGCTGCTGCCTGGGCATTTTGATAGCAGCAGGTGACAATTATCTGGCGAATTTAGCCCTTGTGCTAAGTAACAGCCTTTCCCAAGAGCAGCGTATTAACAAGAGCTTTGTTCCCGAATAGCGTGGGGCGGGGGAAGTGCCACTTAGTCGTGGGAGCATGGGAGACTCAGAATTCCTGAGCTCCAATTCCAGAACTGCCACCGACCGGCTCCACCCTCGGCCCCACTGGGCTAACATGTCTCCACTGGCGGGGCAGCTGCGAAGATGGACGTTTGCATGGTGCTCCAGTTATGTGTCAGCCATTTTACCTTACAGTGAGGCACGTTAATGCCCAGTTTACCTCAGCCCTATCTCTGAAGCAGACAGAGCCCCCGTATATACGTGATCGGGTAATGACGCTCACGTTTCAAAGAGCTGCATAATTACGGGGCCCCATTAAAAAAAATAGGAGAAAGGGGCAACACTTGCCTACTGAAGGAAGCAGCACTTGCTTAATATGCAGGCAAAGGCAAAGCTTGAAGGGGCTGTGCTAGGGTTATCTACCCATCAAGCTTAGTATTTAAAAGGAGCAGGGTTTAGTCTAGCATGAGTGCCATGGTTTAGGCACAAGGAAGGAAGGATACTGGACTGGCCTCAAAAAGATAGTTATGGACGGGGTGTGCTTTGAGCAAGTCCTGTTGAATATCTATCCCCGTGTCATTAGTCAATCCCGAGTCATTTGAAGACCCCTGGGGCCAATTCCATGCAACGTTAAATAGTGTAAATATGGTGTAGTGAGCATAGAATTCAATGGAATCACACTGGATTTACACTCCCCTTGCTTCCCAGGACCCTGTATTTTCAGAACCATGCACGCAAATGACTGCGCATAAAACTCCACACACGTTGGCATCTCTCGTGTGCGCGGGCAGTCACTGAGCCTGCATGTACAATCCCATTTGCTGCACAGTTAGTGTGGCTGCCTATGCAGTCCCGGTAATTGGGCACACAACTTAGATGCCCGAACATGCTTACATTTGCACGTGCAAGCTTCTGAAAATTGACGTAAATAAGAATAAATTCTAGCCCTTATTTATACCAATTTCAAAGCAGAACTCTACGGGCATCAGTGAAGTTACTCCTGATTTACACCAGACCAGAATCAGGCCCTAGGGAACTGATCTAGGTGTCCAGAAAGGCTGGGATCTCCTTTTCCATGCACCCAGCCCGATCCCAGGATTCATTAGTGCTTGCCTGACTGGGCCTGGTCCCAGGCTCTCACCTGGATGTCCAAGTTCAGCTGTTCCCACAGGTCATCGTGCAGGGCTGACACCTCGCCCTCCAAGTTCTCGTACTCTATGGTGCTGTTGGCCAAGGCCTGCAGGGATTTGCAAACACCTCCATCAGGAAATCAATTCCTGTGTGTGTCCATGGGAGCAGGCGCAGTGAACCCAGGAGAAAGAGAAGCCTGGGAGATGGGTGGATCCTGGCATGTGTCATAGCATGGGGCTGGGCATGGATGTATGGTACGGTCAACAAGGCCACTGCTCACATCCTCTCCTAGTGGATACTCAGTGGAATCCTCCAGGGACAAGCTTTCTCTTCCACCTAAGGAAAGGCGTCCCCTGGCATTGCTGCCTGTTGGGAATACCGGGCTGGGCTGCGAATGGCATGTGAGCCAGGAGACAAATCAGAGGAAGCCCACAGAGAAAGCTATGGGGCTTTGTTCCCTAGGAACAGCAGACGCTAGGGCGCCGGATCAGTGGTGGCAGTAGTGGGATAGGCAGGGTGTAATGACAGGTATTGTCTGTGCTGAATAACGTTCTGGGGAGGCAGCTAATTGTTCCCGTCTCTGATCCTGAATTACTTTGGAGCCGGCAGGGGCTGTGCTAGGAGCAGAGAGAAGCAGGGGATGATGTAAATGCATTTGGGGTCAGGGGTTGGGAGGCAAAGCGGGAGTGCAGAAAAGCAAGGAATGCAAACTGAACATATTGCTCCCAGGCAGGCACCCCAGCTCAGTGCTGCAGGGGTTAATACTTTTGGTCCCTGGCTGAGAGGCTTTGGCTCCTCTCGGTTCCCAGTGAGATGCTGGGATGTGTCGTCCCCCCCCCCACACACACACTTTAATGACAGGAAAAGGCGAGGCAGAGGCAATGCCTGGACAAAGGAGAGGAAAGAGGAGAGATTTATCCCCACTCGGCTGAGTTGGCAGAGACATTCTCCCCCTCCAATGCCAGGTCTCCCAGGCTCTCACAGCCCCAGCCGTGTGGAAAGCCAAAGACAGGCTGCCCCTTGCGCCCAGGCTTCATCCACTCAGCTCGTGCTGCTGCTGAGAAAGAGACACCCACCGCTAAGCGAGGTCCATGCTGGCTGCCATGCAGACGCCGTGCTGCTGCTGAGAAAGAGACACCCACTGCTAAGCGAGGTCCATGCTGGCTGACATGCAGACGCCAGGCTCTCTGCTGGGGCAGCTATTCCACGGCGGAGCAGAATAGTGGAGGTGCCTGGCACTGCGTGAGTTAAAACCGCCTGGCACACGGGCTTCTGTTTTACAGAGAACTCCCCCCACCCCGTCCTCCCCACAAGCAGGACATGCCGAAGCATGCGCTGCCCCAACCAAGCCCCCGGAACAGCACACGGCCCCTCTCGAGACTAGAGGACCACTGGCCCTTACCATGGCATGGCTTCACTTGCGGGCGGGGCACGGGGGAAATGGGAGCTCTGTCCCCATAACACCCCTGGAAGGAGGAGGGGTCCCCAGCAGTGACAAGGGTCGGCAAGTAGAGCAGGGGGACATTACCGTGCTGGCCTGAGACAGCTCCACCCGGATGTTGATCAGCTGATTCTGGAGGGATTCCTTCTTGTGCAGCAGCTTCTCGGGGTAGGCGGGCTGGCTCCCGAACATCTCCAACTCCTGGTGGGTGCCCAGCAGGGGGCTCTCCAGGCTCTCCTAGCCAGAGGGAGAAGAGGGTAACCCGAGCCACATCGCCTCCCTCCCCTCGTACTCGCAGAGCACTCGGCCTTGGCAAGCCGGGAGGCTGGCATCGGAAAGGGCCTTTTCTGCAGCAGCAGGGGCTGAGGGTCACCGTCCTGGGGAACACCTGCTGTGAGCAGATCTGTCCGGGTGGTGGGCAGGGCTGCAGAAATGCCTCGCCCTTGGCAAAGCGCCTGCAAGTAGGGGGGATGGCCACTGTCAGGTTAAGGCCCTGGCACGGGACTCCGGAGACCTGGGTTTGTTTCCCAGCCCTGCTGCAGTGATCTCGGGGGAGGCACCCAGACAGAAATACCTGCCTGGTGGGAAGCCTGAGGTTGCTTCAACCACCCACCGTGCGGTGGCTTAAAAACTGCTTCCCCCTCCCCCGGGTGAAGTGCAAGGTTGGCCAGCAGGAGGCCCGGCTAGCCCCAGTGCCCGGGTGCCCCCAGAGTGGTAGTAACCAGTGTGCTCAGTTCCCCTCCCTAAGCCACTTACCTTCTCTGCCCGGAGCTGCTGCACCAGCCTGTCCTGCTCCCTCACCACCTTGTTTTGCTCACACAGTTTCCCCAGCAGCTTCTGTCCCCAGGCAAGGAAAGAAAAGAGGGGAGGGGAGAAGAACATGAAGAGCAAGATGCATCCACAGTGTGATGGCGCGGGGGGACCTCAGATCCGGGACGAAGCAGGCCTGGCCAGTAACAAGCCCTTGCAGGCTCTGGGGTACTATGCTGCCTCGTCAGGGCCAGGTCCCCATTCCTGTCCTGCCAACACGAAAACCTTTGGGCAAATAATGGGGAGGGGTCAGGGTACTTTGTTGGCATCAGATCCATTGGCATCTGCAGGCCGTTCAGAGCAAGCTGTCCCACACCCCAGGGTGCAGCGTCACCTCTGCTCACCTGAGCACTGACTGGCCAGGGGCATCAGATCCATTGGCATCTGCAGGCCGTTCAGAGCAAGCTGTCCCACACCCCAGGGTGCAGCGTCACCTCTGCTCACCTGAGCACTGACTGGCCAGCCTCCCACCCACCGCAACGGGCACTACGGAGCCGCACAAGCATGGGGACTGTACCTCTGCCCGGCCCCATTCCCCGGGTGCCCTGCAGCATGAAAGCCCTTCCTCAGTTCCTACCATGGGCCTCTGAGCCCTGATGCCAAGCCAGCGTGGATAACTGACAGGAGAGCGGAGATGGGGTCTGCCCTGCCATTGCACCTTGGGGCACAGTTAAAGACGGAGAAGGCTCATCATGGTAGGTCAGCAAGTCTGTCTCCCCACGACGGCAGGCCACAGATCCAAACTCTCATCCCACTCAAGTCAGGGGTTCCCAGTGGAAGAGGACACGGCCCCCAGTCCGCCTGACAACAGATGAGCACCTGATACACCTTTTATGGCTGGGGTGGGGAACCTTTTTTGGGTCGGGGGCTGCTGACCCACAGGGAAAAAAAAAATCAGTCAGAGGCTACACAAAAGTGAGAAGCAAAAAAACCTCCCAAAACAAACCCAGCCCTCACTGACGTGGCCTCTGACTAAGCAGAAAGACACTCCCCACATTCCCCTCCCACACCAGAGCCTAGGGGAGAGCGGGCTAGTAGATTTTGTGGGGCCCTCTAGGCTCTGGGGTGGGGCAAAAAATGAGTGGTTTAGTGCATGGGAGGGGGCTGTCAGGAAGCAGGCTGGGGGTGTGGGACGTTGGTGGGTCTGGGAGGGTGCAGGAACGGGCTGGGTGGTATGGAGGGTGCAGTAGGGGGTGCAGCAGCAGGCTGGGGGGGGGTGTCACAGGGTTGGATGCTAGAGGGAGCCCTGAGCCTCAGCAGCTGGATCCAGGCCATAGGTTCCCCACCCTTGTTCTACGGTGTTAGCTTGCACCCCAGAGACCCTACAGTATCTCTCATTTCTAGCGCCTATTCAGGGTCACTTTTCAGGCCATAGTTATAGGGTGAAGCACCTCCAGCAACCAGAGGGGCTATTGTCTCTTTACCATGTCATTGGGTCACAGGTGGGGAGGACACGGTCAGGACTGTCCTTAGGGGCCCTGTGCCCGATGGCAGGTGAAGGGGGTGATTTTTTAGAGATGTGATTTTATAATCTTCTGCACCACACTAATGGAACATTTTTAAAACAAATTGTAAACTCAGGCCTGGTCAATTTCACATAGGAAATTGAGACTGACAGTATCTCTCTGTGGTTGGCAAATGCCTGTCGAATGGCTTCATTGCCACTTGACTGGCTCTTGCACAGGTTTTGCTGATCACTCTGGCAGGCTGTGTCACTTGTAAGTTAACTAAATCCTCTCCAGAGGAAGCAGAGCCACAAAACAGGGAGCCACAAAAGCAGGAAGAGGTAGATGGGTGGGCATTAAGACCCAGCGGTGCCCCAAATTTTCAGATGCCCTACGCAGCCGTGCATTCTGCGTATGGGTAAGGATGGATCTGGGTACAGCATTTGGGATTTGCACACCGGGGACCTGCAGCAACTTGGAATCTTCCAGGGGACATTTACTACGCAAGTACCAGCCAAGCCGCCAGGTTGCACACAGAATTACACAGCATGAGGGATGCACACACGGGAAGAAGGAGGGATGCAGCGAAAAGGAAGCAGAAATAGCAAGGACGAGCAAGCCGTATGAGTGAGCAACAGCAAACAATACTGAATGTGCCTGCGCCCTTCCAGCTCTGCTCTGAGAGGGGATGTTCGTCTGACGATAAATAACAGAGCCAGAGGAGGCATAGCCGCCAAAGGGCAGAGGACGTGTGGGTGACATCACAGGGATGGGGAACAGGCAAGCAGAGAGCGCTGTGCTTACATCAGTGTCTTGCTCGCTTATCTTGTAGGCATGTAGAGTCTCTCTGTAGGCCTCTGGGAAGGGAGACACCTGCAATAAGAGGAACCAGTCATTGCTGCCCCTTGCATTCTGACAAGCCTTGTAGGACAGCCGAGGTCGCTGAGGTGGTGAGTAACATTTCCAGCCCACCCGTCCCCCTTTGCCTAGCAATCAAGTCCTCTTCCCCCACAATACTTAGCACGGATGCAATAACAAAGCGTGTGCATGTGAAGAACATTGGCCATCAGTGATTAGACGGATCACCCAATGCCTCAGAAACGGGCTCTTAAATGTGGCTTAGCCATGCCGCCGTCAGCCCTGGAGAAGCAAACACCTGTTGTCAAGAAGGCAGGTGACACGCAGATGGCCAGGAGAACGGCCTAGCAAATGCTCCCCAGCCACGCCAGCAAAGGATGTCCATGATTTAACCGCGTTTGCGGTCCTGGGTTTGGAAACAGATTAGATGTGGCCCTTGTGAATTGTGATAATCAGTCACCTGCCCGGGCAGTTACCCCGTTTGCATGCCCAACCAGAGGAGTTGGCTGTGCAAATTGCTATGGGGGCCTCGGTAGGGGAAAAGTTTGCACTAGGCTGCCGTGCCTCTGGTTTTCAGAGCGAAGCAGGTCTCAGGGAGGGGTGATGCCTCAAAATGTGAGAGCTGTAGAAAAAGGCCGGGCCTTGCCTGCTCAGAAGGCACCGGGGTCTGTGTGTAAGAGGAGCTAAAGACTGAGCATGCAGCTTACGAGAGGGGTAGGGAGAGAAGAAATGGCTAAATGAGGTCTCAGAATGCCCCTTTCACGGGAGGCTGAGACAAGCTGGTCATCACTAGGATGCTGGGCTAATGGGCAGCAGCCAACAGCAGACCAAAAGAAATGGCTACTGCCGTCACAATGGGACACTGCATGGACGCTCCCCACTCTGGGCTGACTTTCAGTGAGACAGTGGTGCTGGGCTAATGGTTTGGGGTGCTGCAATTTTACCTCCCTATCTTCTTATTACAGCCCATTTGCCAATGGAGAAACCGAGGCAGAGAGGTCACCGGGCCAGCATGTTCAAAACCAGCCAATTATTTGGGGCGGCCTTCAGTTTTAGGGGTCCCACTTGAGAGGCCATGGAGTGGGTGCTCAGCGCCTCTGAAAAGCTGGCCTAAGGTGTCTCAGCCGGGGAATGAAAATCAGTGGGCACGTCTGAAAACGTTTACTCTAAAACGGTTCCCTTCCTTGGAAAACCAGAGTGCGAAGGGTTCCCCAAGCTGGCATGTGGTGTGCAAGGAGACCTCAGCAAAATGCTGAGGTGAAAGGTGTCCAGCAAGAATGTGATAAGGCAAGGTGCTACCCTCACAACCCACAGCTGCAAACGGTCCTGATCCAGTGAGATCCTGAGCAGGGTTTGGCCCAAGGGACCAGGCTGCATCAGAGCAGGACAAGAGAGCCAGTGGGACTTTGTTTTGACTCTCGGTTTTGTATTCAGTCCTCCAAGACTGTACCACCCATCCCAACAAGGGGCGTGTTCCATTTACACACTGGGTACAAATGGCCTCACCTTTCCATCCAAAGTTATCCCTTTCTCAGTGCGATACAGCACAAAATGCCCAACAACCCACCTGACAAGACAACCAGGAGATGCAGTCAGGAGGTTACACTGAACAAAACAGCCCTAGGGCCCACTACAAGAAGACAGAGCGAGTTCTATATTGACCCTACCCAAGGTCCTGCCTGCCCACCGAGAACACGCTATGTCCATCAAAAGCCCAGTGTTCTGTACAAATGTCTGGAAAATACACACCAGACACATTCAGCAAAAGTGAATTCAGTTAACACAGATGGCAGATCTATGAATGATGCTTTGAAAACATGAATGGGTGATGGTAGCGTTCCTGGATGTTATTTTTATGAATGGGCCTTGGCTGCTGTGAGTGTGTGATCTGAAATTACAGGAGGAAATAATAATAGTACCTAGTTGTTATACGCACGTTCTGTACACGGAGCACTGTGCAGAAGTAACATGCTCACTCAGGCCAGGTCCACATTGGGAAATTATTTCAAAATTAGTAAAGTCAACTTAATCACCCCTGATTTAACAAATATGAAATAGCGTGTCCACATTATGGGGAAGCCTCGGAATTAGTCCGAGGCAGGCTCCATGAATGTGGATGCGCTCCCTCGACTTAGAGCCCCTGGAAGCACTAGGGAGTGTTTAGCTCGAATTACTTGGGGAGTTGTTATTTCAAAATAGCGGCACCAGCGCGTCCACACTATGGCTATTTCAAAATAACTCTTTTGGAATTAGCGTTACTCCAGATGAAAAGCAGGAGGACAGATTTCGAATTAAGCAGCCTGTTCTTTGGAAAGTATGGACTTGGTCGTGTGGACTCTCTGCTTATAAATTCAACCTAAGGGGGGTTATTTCAAAATAAAGCCCTAGCGTAGACCACACTCAATGTGTGACATCCCCCCGTCGCGAGAGGATATGAGCCTATTCCTGATCCTCCAGCTCCAAGAACAGAGAACTGTGCTTTGGAGAGGAAGACCCCAGACTATAATTATCTGTCTTACTGTTGTACACAGGAGCCCCTGTGATGGTCTAGGATTCCGCTGTGCTAGGTGCTGTACAAACAGAACAAAAAAGACAGTGCCTGGCCCAAAGTCATAACCTGCTGCTGTCCAACAGTGCTGGGGTCTTTGACTAATTTATCCTCATTGACATGTGAAGAAGTCATCACTCCATTTTACAGATGGGAACTGCCAGGCAGAGAGAGGGCAAGTGTCTCTCCCAAGGTTGCCCAGGGAGTTAGTGGGAAGGGGGGGGGGGATTCCAACTCAGAACTTTCTACGTCCCACCAGAAGTGCAGCCTTTCATGGCAATGTGCAGTGAGATTTGGGGATGGCTTATGGATTTTCCAGGGAAGCGAAGATGGAGCCGCGGGGTTCCCCAAGGAGTGTCTCATCGCTGATGGGTGAGGCGTGGCAATGGGCGGAGATGTGGGGTGGCACGCTCCCAAATGAGCTGTGTGTGTGGGAGGTGGCTGGACGATGGGTCTGCCATGCAAAAGCAGCTGGAATGGGACAGTCCATGGCAGAGCTGCGGTGAGTTCTTACTTGCATGTACAGCTGGGCCCTAGGGGAGGAGTTCTCCACCATTCTGTTCACCATACTGATCAAAGTTTCGCTCTCACTCATCTGCGGCAGACAAGGAAGGAAATTTCAGACGTCAGCACAGACACGGACGCTCCCTCGGGTCCAGCAGGAACGTTCCTGACAGTCCGGGGCGATCTTCGGCATCGGTGAGGGAGGCTTTGGACAGGGCGCCGTGGGCCTCACGCTGTAAGGGACTGAGTGCCGCCGACTCTTCTCAAACAGGACAGCACTGGGAGGTGCTCAGTCCCTTGCCAGGTTGGCACACCTGGGCCACCGCTGCCCAGTTTCTATCCAATTAACTCCACTCTGTGTCTCGTCACCTACCGAAGTTCTGGCCACACGGAGAAAACTTTTACGGGTCAGACGTGAGCTGATCTCAAAGGTCACCCCGCTATCCAGAGAGAAGCAAGCCTACCACCGAGGTCCATGGCTACAAAGCACAGCCAGAGTCCTCAGGGACAAACCAAGAGCTCATGTCCCATGGGATCACTAAAATTCCCCTGCTTCCCACAAAGTGCTGAGAACACGGCTGATCTGCTCTGCAAAGATAGGAGGCCACAGGGGTATTTTCTTCCCCACTCTCTTAATGCCTCCTGTGACTGCACGTGACATCCGGGTCTCCAGCTCTTCCCTGCACCGTGGGAAGAAGACAGACTCCCTAAGGTCCTTAGCAGAGATGGGGCCCAGGGACTGACTCTCCAAGATCCTTGAGCTAAGGAAGAAGCCAGAGTTCTCTCTTTGCTGCTGGGACACATCACGCATCAGCCCCTGGCTCTAGCTCCCCAGATCAGAATTGGTCTCTTTGTTCCCATTAACGTCCACACTACTGCAATGGTATTATTGCCATACTGGAGCGGCTGGACAGGGTTATAACGCCCTTGAACAATGGGCAATCATTGCGGGGGTCTCTTCGTAAGGGAATGACCACACCTGCCACTGATTCCACCCCCCCATGGCTCACTGTATGTGGCCTGCCTGGGGGCAAACTGTTAAGCCATCAGTAGGTTGGGTGGCCTTGCAGAAAGACGCCCTCAGAGTCGGAGTCTGCTTTACACTGCCATGTCTGCTATGCCTCACATGCCTTGAACGGATGTAGACTAGACCATCCCGCCACATGGAACCAGCTCTGTCACCACCACAAACGGACTGAATCTCAGAGCGAGATCCCAAGCCTGGAAATACTCAGGAGCAGCTGAAAGGAACTTTCAGCCCCAAATTCGGCATGCGGACCTTCAAGAGAGTTGTATCTGGGAAGCAAATGCCTTTAGAGCCTACACATTCCTTTGTATTTATTTTTGTAAAGAGAAAGGCAGCACCAGCCTTAGTTGAGAAATAAAAAGAGACACAAAGACACTGTTTTGGCAAGACCCTACATTTTAAAAACAGGTTCTAATGTGCATATGAATAAATAAATAAATACTAGCCCCCAGGTTCTAATGTGCATATGAATAAATAAATACTAGCCCCCGAATCCTAGAACTGGAAGAGACCTCAGGAGGTCATCAAGTCCAGCCCCCTGTGCAAGGCAGGACCAATCCCAACTAAATCAACCCGGCCAGACCTTTGTCAAGCTGAGACTTGATGCTTGCAATACCCAGATAGGATAGATCTTGAAAGTGGCCACTGAACAGAATAAAAGGAAGCAAAACCACATACACCCGATTCTTTAAAAAGACATTCCTACAGTTCTCTGTAACAACCCGAAGGGAAACTTAAAATTGAAATCTCTAATCTTACTGGCTTCCCCCCTCCGTAAGATGAGGATAACCTGGTTTGTTATTGCAGGGCTGTGTACATTACAGTACTTGGTTGCAAGTGACCAAAAGTTTGTCAAACTCCAATTTGCAAGTGTAGTGTTTCACCCGCCAGTTTGTGACGGTCGCACCCTGTAAGTATGTACTGCACAAACTAGGTTCTTAGTGTAGGGTTGGCCATTAGTGCTCGACTACTGAGAACCGTTTTCTTTTTTAAATTATAAATAGCATTTTTGGGGTGGTGGTGAAGAAGTGGGATCTGCATGCAAACCACAGTTAAATGGACTTGCCAACAACCCAATGCCGCAATTAAGAGTTCTGATTGTGCACCAAAAAATCTTGCTTTTGTCCCTTTCCTTTCATGCTTTACTAGTAGCACACAAGGGGGAGGCCAGTTTAGCACGCAAAGGGTCCGATCCTTGATTGGAGTCACTGGGCATAGCTGTCCGGAAGCCAATGGCATTGCGTCAGTGTACACCAGCTGGGGCTCTTCTCTAAGATGTTCCATTCCAGCTTCCCAGACAAACAGGGAATGAGAACAGAAAGAAGCAAACAGCGCTTTAAAGGGATACTTGGCGTGACTGTCAGTGGGTCTCTCCAAAGGTCAGCAGGGAGAGAGGAGACAGAAAGCCTTTGAGGGAGCGTGTTCAAAGAGTTGAGAAGGGAAACCCTGCTGAGGATGGCTGTGAAATAATCGGGAGAGCTTTTTATTTCACCGACTTCTCCTCGCTCAGCTCTGGCTCTGCTCCAAGCCGGAGAGAAACACCTCGGTGAGTCTTCTACTGATGGGCATCGATGGACTCTGAAAACTCAGGAAATTGGCTCGGGAGCAGCTTCCTACTGAAACACAGACTTCTGCTGTACTACGGCGCTGGCCTGGGGCATTTCTTTTTCCTCCCCTTTTCACCTCTGCAATTTTCATCCCAAGGCTCCTGGCCAGGTTCCCCAAACCGCTTTCCCCTCCCTCAAGTTTATAACCTGCCTCCAACACACCCTCCGGTGTTTGGCTCAGGTCTAGGCTGAGGGATAGGTGTCCGGGTTGGTTCGTGGGTGAGAAGAAGCTGATGCTTCTCCAAGTCCCGCATCAAGTCTCTCGCCTCAGAGAGGAAACTGATGTTGACGCTACTGAATTTGTTAACAGTGGGCTCCAATTTCTGCCCCTTTTCACCAGTGCACGAAGGGGATCCTGCCCGCACAGGCCCACAGACTCACACGCCTGCACCCAGCCGCGTGGCCATGCTGGCTGGATCTTTGTAAACCTTCGCAGTCTGCTCCTACCCTGGACAGAACAGGAGCCCTGATGCTATTCCCAGCCGCTTGGGGAGAGACACTAAGGACTCCAAGCACCACCTCACATGGCTTCCCCCACCCCTCCTCAGAGCAGGAGTCTTAGCACCGAGGTTGAAATGGGCTAAAAGCCCCTTTCCTCCGGACGCTCTCCCGTGACATCATAGCAAAGGTCTGTCGGCAGGGACAGCCCAGCACTGTCCAGACCGTCCCTATGCTGTGGGCAGGGCGGGCGCATTCTCCCAGATGGTTAGTCCAGAACGCTTCACAAGTGCCCAAATCAGCAGGACTCGGGGCCTGGCTGTGCCTTCCTGAAGCTCTGGTGCCCAAAAACAGCCTGCTGCCCCATTCCGGAAATCTACCTGCCTCCCACCCGCACTCAGACCCAGCGTAAGGAGGTGCACAGCTCCCGGGGACGTGTCTGACCCACGTTCTATGAGAATGGGTAGACAAACTGAGGGCCAGTGTCTGCTTCCCTTCAATAGTGCCGTGGGGGGTTGGAATCTGGTCCCACATTAGCAATCCCCGTGCTGCCTGGCTGCCGGATTTTGCCCTCACTTACGCTGGTGCAAATCAGGAGTGAATCAGAGCTGTTACGCTAGTGGCACGTGGGTGTGAGAGGAGGAACTGGGCCCCAGACTGATGACATTTACATTCACACGTACACAGTGGCGCGGGAACATTTTTAAAAGTGGAAGTGCTGAGCCCCCCAACCCCTGTTCACGCTCACCCCCAGCTGAGGCCAATAGCAAAGGCCCCCAGTGTGCAGGGCTCGAACCGTGACCGCAGCACATGGGGCTGGCAGCAGAGCCCCCAGCACATGAGGCCTGCAGCTGGGATCCCAGGCACTAGGCCAGAATCTCATGGGTGCTAGAGCCCCCCTGCTCCCTAGTTCCCGTGCCTGTGCATATACACCCATTTCTGAGCTGCCGTTCTCCTCCCACTCACACCAGCCAGTCTCCACTGGCTAGACCTGAGTCACTCCTGATTCACACCGGCATGAATCCCAGTGGAATACACACATCATTCATTGCACTGCTGGCTCGGCTGCGGCCCTTCGCAGCATCACGTGACGCACAGACGGCATTTGTCCAGTCAGGTGATGGGCGACCCTGCAGAAGGGAAGAATGGAGGAAGCAAACCAAGGATGGCTGATGCAGCGGTGATGCCCCGAAAGGCTGCAGAATGGATGTTGAGGGGAGGGGCAGGGAGTGACCGGGTACTGAAGGCAGAGCGGGGATGGGGCAGTGGCGGAGGCAGGCGGGGACATGAGCAGCGTGACGTTCGCGGCCAGCTCTGCCTACCTGCTGGTCCAAATATTCTAGGTTTCTTTGCAACTGAAGATCTAAAAGTTCATCCTATCAGGAGCCCACAGCCATGCGGCAAAAATGGAAACACAAAGAAGAAGCAAAGCGGTTAGGTGAGGCTGCGGGAGGGCAAAGCGCTCTCAGGTGGGGAGGCCGAATCCCGCCTCCGGCACGGCGGATCCGAAAGCAGAACTGGTGGGATGCGCTCAGTGGCCTTTCCAGCATCTCTTCTAGGCACCTGCTGGGAGCTCCCTCTCAGCCAGGGCCCCCCCCATTCCTTCTAGCGCCTCCCACTGGGCCCGGCTGGGACTGCAGTGAATGAGAACTCCCTCACAGCCAGTGCCCCCCCATTCCTTCTAGCGCCTCCCACTGGGCCCGGCTGGGACTGCAGTGAATGAGAACTCCCTCACAGCCAGTGCTCCTTCCCCATTCTCCTATCACCTCCCAGCAAGCTGGGGACAAAGCAGCTAGGAACTCCCCAACATCCAGCTTTCCATCCCCAAACCTCACCCCACCCCTAAGAGAGGCTGGGGGTGGCATAGCTAGGAGATGCTGGGTCTGCAGTTGCTGGGAGCTTCCACATAACTCAGGCTCCTGTATCACTGCCTTTGGTGGCCAAGCGGCCAGAGAGGACATAGCTAGCAGCTCCGCTAACTACTGCCCCTTAGGCCCCCGCATTGGAAGTGGGGAACGGGGCTTTTTGCTGTGGTTCCTGGATCCGCATCAGGACTCCGGCCACACCTTTCCTGCTCCACTGCAGGCACACCCCAATCAAAAGGAAACCCTGTGAGCAGAGCTAGGCGACAAGGCAAGACAGGGAGGGGAAGAAGCTGCGTGCAGTGGGGGTGCAGCTTAAGCCCAGTTCACGCGGCCATGAAATCTCGTCTGTCAACCCCCTGCTCTCCCAGGCGCCTGATCAGCTCAGAGCGGTTAAGACCCAGGGTGGAGGGACCAGCCCAGTCACATGGATTCTGGCTGCTACCCCCAGATCCATTAAAATACCCAAATCAAAAGGAAAAGCTGCGGCTGGCTGGGAACAGAAAAGCAGCTATTGGAAAGCAACAGAAAGAGGAAATGGAGGGCTCCGTCCGTCCTTCACGTCCACCCTCCCTCCCACTGCCCTGGCTGGAGATCATACCACTGGGTGGTAGGATGCAGCGGGCGCTGGGCTCGCCAACCACCTATGCACTCCCATTGCTCCTCAGAGTGATGCAGCAGGGTAGGCGCGTACGCCCGGGGAACACACCCCACCTTCCACACCCTCCGCTCCACAGCGGGGAGGCCACACTGCAGCGGGAAGCGTGGTGCACTGGGGAAAGGTGGGAGTCTTTCCCTTTGGGGTTCACCGGGCCAAGCCCCAAACGACACCCCCCCAGATCGTGCGCCCCCTCTGGATCTTCGCCAAGGACTCCGAGCACACCGGTGTCCTCATTGGGTCTTCACAAATGGACGTACCACTGCCTCCCAGCTACACCCCCTGCGTGCTCAGGGCAGCTGGGCTCCCAGCGTGTCTGACGCAAGGAACAGACAGGAGCGGGATGTGCACCCCAGCTGCCAGGCATGCCTGAGCGCACACAGGAAGCTCTCGGCTGCAGGCACCACGCCAGCAAAGAAGGCATCTCAGTATCACTTCCTTCCTCCCTGACTCCAGCCGCTCCTGCTGGCTGGAAACCAGCTTGGGAGAGAGACGGTCAACAGCCACACGCCCGGACACTGACAGCACGTACCATTTTGTCGTGGACGGTAGGGGACGCTGGGTAGTTGTAGGGATACATTCCTGCCGGGACGGGTCTCCTGTCACCCAGATAATCATACTGAGAAGAGAGAAGAGATACCCCCCGCCCAGGCACATGAAATGTTAATAGCCCTCCAGGAACTGACCATGGCGGCTCACCCATTGCCGTGGGATCTCAGGGCGCTTTCCGCAGTGTAACGACGCCCGTCCTAGGGAGGGGGCGTCAAGGCAGCGAGTTTGCTCACCCACGGAGCCCGAGGTGGAACCCGACTCCCAGCTGTTTGCCTTATCGACAGCCCCACCAGGCCATGGGGGGAGATTTCCAAGGGGGTTTTGGCTAAAAGTGGGTTCAGAGGCAGACTCCAGTTTCCCTACCATTCAGGGGGTTTGGCTGCAGGTTTTGGGGCGGGCCTGTCTCCACACTGAGATCCCTGCCCTGATTGTCAAGAGACTCTCAGAAAAGGCTCCTTAAGCCTCTCATGCAGGGGTGGGGAACTGGTTTTTGGGTGAGGGGGACCACTGAGCCACAGAAAAATCAGCCGGGGGCTGCACACAAGTGAGAAGGGAAAAAAACTCCACAACAACCGTCACTGAGGTAGCTTCAACTGAGAAGGGGAAAGACTCCCCCACATTCCCCATACGCACTAGAGCCTAAGGGGGCCCAGGCTAGTAGTTTTGTGTGCTCCAGCTCTGAGGTGGGGTGGGGCTGGAGCGCCAACACAGGCTCCCCAGTGCTGGGGGGGAGCCCTGAGCCTCGAGGGCCGGATCCAGGCAAGCCGGGGCCCGCATCCAACCCTCAGGCCTTAGGTTTCCCATCCCTGCTCTAATGGCTCAGAGAACAAATGCCCGTAAGAGCATTAGCATCCCTCCAGCCTGTATCCCTGCCCTGGCGCGCTGACACACGCCTGCCCTCTTAGCTCAGCTTACTAGGAGCTGCAGGAAGGAAACGGACACAGACCACTTGCGGGGTAGCCTCCCAGGGAAGCAGAGGAGGTTGGGGGTGGAGCAGGTGGACGCTCTGAAGGCCAGCACTCCTTCCAAGGACATCTGGGGCAAGCAGAGTCAGCCCAGCGGGGAACTAACACCCCCACCACCACCAGGCACAGTGCCAGGGAGTGCAAGCTGAGTTTGCCATCCTGGTCTCCAGCCTCCTGCTATTCCCGTCCTGGGCTCCCCCCAGTCCAGTTCCGCCAGTGCCCCTCAATCCCAATTTGCACCCCCCTTGCTACTCCGCTAAAGAAGGGCAGGCAGCCCTGGATTCGAGGAGGGAGGCAATGCTGGCATTTACCTTTGGGGAACTGACCGAGCGCCTCATCATGTAGGCCGCGGGGTCCGCATAGATCTCCTCGCTCCTGGGGGGCACCTTCTCGAAGCGGGAGCTGGGCGACCTGACCGGCGAGTACATCCTCGCCCTGCTGTAGGTGCCCTGGCTGGGCGAACGGGGCACCGACCTGGAGCGGGGCTGGAGGGACATCCTCCGTAGGGAGTCCGAGGCGGCATCCACCTCGTCGTAATACACGGGCTGCCGACCGGGGCCGGGGATCCAGACGGGGACGTCCTGCCGGCCGTAACCCGGCTGCTCCTTCCACTCGCGCAGCTGGTAGGAGCCTCCGTTGCGGAAGGAGTGGCGCTTGTCCTCCGCGGCCCACTGCGGGCTCACCCGCTCGTAGGCAGGCATGGAGCAGATACTGTCGGGGCGCACGCCGGGCGGGTAGTACTGGTAATCCTCAGGGTATTGGGGCGAGTAAGGAGCGTAGTAGTCGGGGACCCGGCGAGACATTGGGAAAAACCTGGTGGGGCTACAGCACCCCCGAGGAAGGAAGAGAGAGAATTGTAAAACTGGGCCCTCAGCTCCATCTGGCTCTGCAGCCCTTCCCTAGAGGAAAGCCACAGTCTAAGGCCTGCGCCGACAGACCAGTGCCCACCCCCTCGCCCCCGTCTGCTAGGAGGGCAGATTCTGGGAGGGATCCAGCAGAGCAGCATCCCCTGCCAATGATGGGGCAGCCCTGGAGGGCAATCTCCTAGCACTCAGACACTGGGTAGCCCCCACTGTGCCAAGAGCCGGGGCCCACCCAGCTGCCTCAGGAAGCGAACCGGAGCACAACCCCCTGGCAGGCTGCAGCGGTGAATTAGGCTGCATGGTCACTTCTCCACCTAGCCCGGCGATGGGCAACCGAGGCTAGTGAGGGGGCCGCACGAGGGGCCTCCTTTCTCTCAGCGGGCTGCAAGGTTGTCCTAACCAAGACGCTCTCCCAGGACAGGGCTGTGTTGGGAACAGGGCTGGCCTAGCGAACCGGAGCACAACCCCCTGGCAGGCTGCAGCGGTGAATTAGGCTGCATGGTCACTTCTCCACCTAGCCCGGCGATGGGCAACCGAGGCTAGTGAGGGGGCCGCACGAGGGGCCTCCTTTCTCTCAGCGGGCTGCAAGGTTGTCCTAACCAAGACGCTCTCCCAGGACAGGGCTGTGTTGGGAACAGGGCTGGCCTAGATCGGCGGGCGGTGCCGGTTGAACCGTGGCCGCGCTGTGATTGGCTGTAGAGGGAGCGCCCGGCTCTCTCAGTCAGTGTCGTGAGCAGCCAGCGCACACGTTCGTAATAACGGTCGGGAAAAACCACACGGACGGAAACCCGCGGAGTCTCACCACCCTGCGTGTGGGCAACGGCAAACAAAATGCCTCACGGGCCACACGCTGAACCCGGACGGGCCGCAGGTAGCCCACGGGCTATAGGCTGCCCACCCTTTGCTTGTGCTGCTGCTCCCCACCCCTCAAACTCCACCCTGGTGCTGGCCTATTGGTTGGCGTGGCCCAGCGGCACATGGTTTAGGTTCGGTGCTGGCACTGGGGCACCGCTGGTGGGGAAGGTTTCCTGGAGGGGGAACACTCCCCCCCCAGCCGGGCCAAGAGGGAATGTTGTCTAGACAGGGAGAAGAGCGCTCTTT